CTGCTGAACATTTACCTAATTTCTGTATATATATATATATGCATATCTGTATTATGATGTTATATTAACTGGATTATGAATGAAATAGTGAAGTGCAACATACAGGTTATGTTGCCATGTTATGAATGGGGCTTCAAATTGCTTGAATTTGTTAGATAAACTTACCCTGTTTTGAAATTTGATGTAGTCACACTGTAGAGAAGATACTTCTTATTTGAATTTGTAACCGAACGCTTTACACGAACCAATGATGACAACCTGATCTATGATGTGGTTCCACATTAACCAGTTGATTTACTGGGAATGAGCCTGCTGGTGCAATGTGATTGCCAATGAAACCGTTAGGTATTTTATGACACAAGTGATTTTTTTACCTGTCAGTTTCAACATTTCACGGCATTCGATGCTACTATTTGAATGTGACAGTTGTGGCTTTTACACAGAAGTTCTGTATCTTTAGTGAGAAAACGCTACATTCATCATGAACTAGTGTCCTGTATCAACATTAATTTTGTGCCCATCAGACAAGGCAACTATGCATATGCACATATGCTTCAAACGTTCCATTGAGTGGTCATTGAGTGCATCTGCTGAATTTTCAACAGTCAAGGCTTTTGAAAAATAATCGTGTGAAGATCATTGTTTCAACCCTGGAAATCCAGACTAGGCCTATGTTGGAAGATTGACCGGTGTTGCTTCAAGGTAAATATTAATGTGAATGACTTAATTGGTCTCACATATACTTTTGTATATTATACTGACACTGGATTTTGTACTGCCACTATAGTGTGTACACCCGTTGTAATTACTTTGCAGCAATTTGTACCGATTTGAAAACTTAGTTAATTCTATATGACAGTTGTTGATTGTATAGCATTTCTTTGCCGTTTGTTGGGTTTCACACTAAATTATTTTACACATTGATTTATGGGTCAACTTGTTTCAAATTGGACGTCGACACGTAACATAATACAATCATATTTTATTTCCATATATATAAATATATTACTTAACAAATGTAAAATGTGTAATTTATTATTTGTCCCTTCGTTGATTTGAATATTAATAAAACTATCAAAATGTATTTGTCAACTTGCACTTTTTTATTTATTTACCTTGTGGATCTAGAAAAATCCTGACAACTTCATGCGTGCTGAAAGAGGCAACTAAATACGGATCAGATGATCAGGCTCTGTGACTAGGTTGATTGTATCTCAATGGGCTGGCATGTTGCTTTCAACCACCGGTAAGCCTGATCTACACTCGATTATTGACAGGCCCCTCTGACACAGAAGGAGCATTACTAATTCCATCTCCAAAACAACCAATACTCACTTGCTAGTAGCAGCCTTGTGAAAGGCAACTGCTGTAATTTATTTTGTGAATTTGTGACTGTTTCAAATGATTAATTTAGGTAGTATTTTATGTTGCCAATGCTGATTGCAAGGAAGGGCAACAGGTTAAGTTCTTTTAGAGTATTTTGGTATGACGCGACCGGGGATCGAACCACCAACTTTCCGCTATCTGGGCAGACGCACTATCCACTAGGCCACAGAGGCGATAAATATGATGCTTGAAGGAGATGTGACAGTGCACATGTACGACCGTTAAACCGATGTCAGTTGTATCTGATTCACTGTAAACAATAAATGTGCTTAAAGGTGTAGTACACTGATAGTACTACGGGTTAAAACGCTTTGTTTTATAACTTTAGGTTTAGTTCTTTTAGATTATGACAAGCTTACTAACTCAGTTAGTTAGTAACTCAGTCAAACTATTGTTAACAAGGAGATAAGTACATATCTACCGAACTGACGTCTTTGCACGCGGAGAAAACAATCAAAGTTCAAGTTCAAGTTATTGTTTCATGCATGAAGTCGCTAAGGTCAAATATCGCATCTACACAGAAAACGTTTTGAATGAATGCGGAGACCTAACTTCACACATCTGAAAGAGATTAGTTTATATTGAATCTGTTTTTTTACTGTTTTATTGTATATACCTTTTTATGATTGCAAACATTATTCCTGTGGCTATACGCTGAAATGTTGACGAAATGATGTTGTGTAACGCACTCGCTAACTAAAACAGAAATGCAGCCATTGAGTTAACCAACAACGAAAACATCAAAACCTATTGCAATAACTAACCCGGCCGTCTATGTGAGCATTGTCAAAGCCTGTCAGTTCTCGTGTGTGTGACACATATGCAGGGTTGTAGGTCAGTATACGCCCCATGAATAAATACAAGAGAAATAGCTTCTTCAAGAGACGTTCGTAACCTAGGATAGAACTTTCTTTTTGAATAACACACTCAGCCGTATTCCAGCTATAAATCGTCGGCCTGTATATAATCGAATCTGGCCAAGAATATCCAGTGACTGATAATATAATGAACAGCGATCTATGCTGAGGTATGATGACGCCAAATCAAGCAAGTCTTCCAGCCTGACCACCAGATCCATTTTCTCGCCTCTTACGAGCCGCATAGACTGCAAGTGACCACACATTACCGGGAATCCCCAGGAGCCAGAGGCAGGATGTTTGAGAATCCATGATTATTGTTTTTGAAAGGAAAGGGCATTGTTATACAGGATATATGAAGTCTACCGGTATAAGCATATTGAAGCCTGTCTTAATTGGATATGTGTTTAATGCTGTATATGTATCTAGAATCTTCAAAACCGATGTTAAACTATTCGTGCTTGTGAATGGTGTTACCCTTCATTTGCCTCACATCATCAATACTCCACGGGCTTGACAACACTGCATTCTTCTATATCAAGCAACGTCAACACATATCGTTCTTTCGTATTAGGTAGCAATATAGTGTAAACACGGAATATATAGATATATAAAAGCACAAATATATTGACATACAAATATATATAACTATAAATAATATATACATATATATATTTGTGTTAGTTTTAAGCCACACACAGACCTACAAACATAAGAGGCTATGGCAACGCGAGCATGTTATTCACCTTGCCATGTAACCTGCCAAACATAGCACTGACCAAAGATAAAAGAACGTCAGGACAGAAGACGGATCCTTGTCAGACATCGAAGGCTTTCTTAGCAATGGTTTTAAACTCACTAACGAGGCCTTAGAGTCAACTAAACAACTTCTTTGGACAACCACACAGCAGATGAGGAGTAGAGCTGACCAGACAGATCTACAAATTATGACATCATCAGCTGCTTCTTTCAGAATATGCTAAATACGCATTGCTGATGTTTCTTGATATATCTTTGCAGTACTAAATGATTGATTCTTTTAATTGAAGACAGAAAGTTATTATCAGTGTTTCACATAGCAATCAATATATATAGGAAGTTGCAAATGATTTAGAGATTATCCCACGACATACGTTTCTTTTTGTGAAATGAAATGAAACATATAGGTTTCCGTATCACATAGATATATAAGCTCGGTAAATATATTCTCTGACGTCATTCACAAAGGATGACATCATATTTAAATATTTGCAACTATGCTTGATATGACGCGACGTTGCTATGTGTCGCATCTCACATAATGGGACATTTGGTTTGATCCAGCCAATTGACGTGAAAAAAAAATCCTCTTGCACTGTGAGAATTACTAATTTAAAAAAATAATTGCACCGCTTTTCTCGCCTGATGGGTAAAAATAACCCTACAATCTAAGAGAAGTTACGGATCATCTGTCTCGAGTTAATTTACCAATTCACTAAAGACAGATTTACAGTAATTCCGAGTTGGTTATTCTTCATACTACCCGAGAGACACCGCACCCCGCCTGCACTCTGCTTGACTCTTTTATTTGATCAGTAACCAGCAGGGAGTGAGTGAGTGGATACAGTTTTACGCCGCTTTTAGCAATATTGTAGCAATTTCACGGTCATCAGCGTGACGAGCGAACGGTTTAACCACTAGGCTACCCCACCGCCCCACCGCCCCACCGCCCCACAACTGGGTAGATGTAGATTCTGTATACTTACCACGATGTCACCGTGACATGTGGAACTTGGCATATATGTATCTATGTCACTCGACTATGAGTTTCACAGTAGTGATTTTGTTCTTAATCCTGTCCTTTGTCACAATCATCAACCTGAGCAGAAAATCCAGTATCAGATGATGCAGTTCAGTACACGGGTTCCCTTTGTGAACACATATGTTTTTTCACATTTTCGTATTTAGTCATCATAATGATGGTGTTTTTTTTCACCCTGATCATGAAAGGGTAATTTTAACAAAAAGCTACGAAAATCACACGCACGGCCAAAGTACAGAACTGAATTAATATCAAATATACGCCTTCATAAACGAATTTACTATGAGTCTTGATACCAGTAAACATGCCTTTGTTTATTCCTCTAGATTCCTCTTGATTTCTTCCATGTCGCCATTACCCCTGATATACATAACCTGTAAGTTAAATGATTGTGTCTCGACTTGCAAATAAAGTAATTTTTCTTCTGGAAAACCAGTTTCGATTAACAACGCAAATTAACTAAAGAAATACAAAGATAGATCAAACCGAGATAGATATCATATATTCAGATCATAAACTTTTGATTTTACTCAGTGTGATATTGCATATTATCATAGAGCCAACATGACGACGGTCATATCACAGGTGGTGTATATAAAGTAACCAGACCCTCGTTGCACCCCCTGCGGGGATGATGAGGCTTTTCAGTGCATTTTGAATGGGCGATTGATATCAGCCCCGGATGGAGTGCGTCGTCTGCTCGGTTAACTTTCCCAAGACAATGTCTTCTTAACAAGGTGAAATTGTTATGGATGCGTTTTGCATTTTTTTAATGTGTATGATAAAAATGTTATTTTATCGATCAACATTCATTTGGCCCACGTTATGACATGGGGGTCTCAGTTTGATATGGAGTATGATATGAAAACTGTTGTTTAAAAATTTGAGTTACCACTGACACTGGTAATATGAATTCCTTTATATATTTGTTCCGACAGCTACTCCCATATTCGTCTGCAAGAGGTCTGTGCATATACGGTCCTGGTTGTACCCACGACACACCACAAGCTGTGATCGAAGTACACTGTTTACAACTGACCTATGTACCATTGTATGAGACTGCACACACCATACGAGGTAGTCATGTCTTCAGAGCCGTTATTGTGCAAATACGTACGTGTCTGGTTGTATACGTGGTACCCCACACGGAGTTATCGAAGTAGACTGTTGACAACTGACCTACTTTACTGTTACATGACACGACACACACCATACGAGCCATTCATTCGGAGTAGTTCTTATCACGAAAGTAGCTAGTGCGCGTGTGCAGATAAGGCGAATGTCGTTTAGTGTCTGCAGTAGACGCCTGTTCAAACCCTCTTCTCAACTGTCATTTCTCGAAGGTAAGAAAGTGACTCAGTGTGTTACAAGGATCACACGACGTTTGTAATGTAGCTGCTTTACCTTTGGACAAGTGATTATATAAGTTGATGTGAATCCTTACTTACTTTCTGGTTCTTATCAACACCTGAATGATATAGGGCATTGCCTAAAAGTCGGGCCGGGCCGGGCCGGGCAAAAGTGTTATTGGCTAATTACTTCATTATCGGCGGTCATACCTACATATAATTGATGCAACATACACACATGACATTTATGAACAATCACCAAACAATAAAGTGCATCATAATTAAGTAATTCGGAGTAAATCACTTGAAAACGAGAAAGTGGAGCTGTGTGTAAGCGTCGCTGATCTAGGTAACATGTAAAAGAGCAATCGTTAAACGAAATAAGATTTGAAACGTATCAAATACTTCCAGCTATCGTGATACAAATTTCCATCTGTCGGCATAGCGTTTCTATTTATAGGAACCTACTATATCGGACCCAACAAAGGCCAAACACTTTTGATAGAGACTATGTTGAGAATGTAGAGGGAAAAGGGTTTCATTTTGAGCACCTTGTTTTCTTTAAGAAAAGCGATCAGAGACACTATAAAGTGGTATTAAGGTGGATATAATACTAATCTATAGATGTGAATCCATTTGATGATACATCTGTGCGGTTTAAGTTGATTTTGACAGCCCGGGCCAAGTCGGACCGAACACTTCTAACAGGGTTTTTCTTAAGAAAATACAGTAAAAGTCCTTGACTTTAATGGCCCAGTTTTCTTAAAATGCGATATACTTGTAACAGCGGTACTCTGGTCCTCACAAAGATAAGAGAGTACTTGTTGGGTTCAAGGGATTTATTTTCAATGGGCGTAGAGAACTACACCGTAGTCCGGATCTGCCCTAAAACATTAACAATTTGATATAAATATCATGGGTATCATTATAAAGGCACTAAATAACAACAATACTAAGTATACATTTAGATCTATAGTTCCTTACTTTTGGCATATATATATATATATATATATATATATATATATATATATATATATATATATATATATATATATATATATTAACAAATCCTTCCAGATAAAACAAATTACACTCTATATATATATAGTTAATAATGCATAATTAATAAAATATAGATAGCATACCTCGTCTCAGGGACGCAGGCTGGAAACTCTCTTATAGAGATGTGCAGTGAAATAGCCCTGCACAAATAAGTATACTACATATAAATATATTACATAGCCACAGTTACACTAGCGTGTATGGAATACAAGCATTATAAATTCTACAAAATACTATACATATATACATAATACATATACATATATCACTATTAACCAGTTTAAATCTATTTTATAAAATTTACATTTGGCTATTATCTCAGTCAAATACACAGTTAAGTTGAATTAAGAATACATTACAATGTCATAATACAATGCTAGCCAAAATACTATATCAAACAACAATGATTGAAATACATAACCTAAGCTTCCAGATAAATAAAGTAATAATTAAATGAACTTACCCTATATGATTCAGTGTAGAGAACGTGTTGAGAAAATATGTGCTGACTGACCAGTAGAAGTGTGATCAGTGTCCCAGAATAATTGCAGAGAACATGCAACAAAGCTAGATCAGAAATAGCACCTAATCACAGGCCAAGCCTGTGACCGACCCATTGACAATAGCCAAGAAAGAAATGGCTGAACTACCCAAGCTATATACAGAACTAGCTTACCTGTGAATTAGTAGATTTGTGCAAGTGCTGAAGTTAACACAATTATTTAGTAAAATAAATGTTAAATATTTAGGTAAGCTTATTAATTTAATTCATGTTTGGTTACTATGATGATACTACTATAAAGGGAATAAGCTCGTCGAGGAACCTAAGGAGGACAGTGTACAGAATTCACAATATAATATCATCCAGCAGAACAAGCCTCCCATGCGACAGCTTAGATCCTACTCTCACGCTGACTCTAGGGGACAGTCGAGCTAGGGGTGTGGTCAGGGCCGAGTAAGAGACAATGTACATACTTCTAGTGGTTGTAGGACGTTTCATCAAGAATCTGTGGACTTATTTGACAATCAACCTGTAAGTAAGAAAAATCTTGTGAAATTTATATTTTGGAATATTTCTGGAATTTGGAGTAAATTAAGTGACTCTGACTACTGTAGCTATGTACAAAACTTTGACATCATTGGAATTACAGAAACATGGTGTAAGGATCTCAATTTAGGTCATGTTTTTCAAAATTATGAAATCATTAACAAAGAGGCAGATAAATTATGATCTTATGGCAGACTTTCTGGTGGCATTTTAGTTATGGCTAGGAAAGAATTAAATATGTAAAATGGACAAAAACTTCTGAAAATGCAATTTTCCTACTGTTTGACAAACAACTTTTTGGAACAGAATTAGATTTGCTTTATGCTTGTGTGTACATACACCCAGAGAGTTCCTCATGGTATGATAAATTTAGTTCTAATTGGAAAAATGGTGTCACTCTTTTTCAAGAGAAACTACTTACAATATTATCAGAATTTGATGATGTACATGTATTATGTGGTGGTAATTTCAATGCCAGAACTGGAACTAAATCTGACTTTGTTGAAGATGACATAATAGAGTATACTGAAAATCATAATTACTTCATGTCTGATCTTATATCGGATTACTTCAATCTTGAACGCTTTTCTCTAGATAGAGTTTTAAACAGTTTTCGAAAATGTTTAACTGATTTATGTTCAGTTCTGAATATTCATATCATGAATGGAAGATGTGGTAGAGATAAAAACGTCGGTGACTTTACTTTTATTGGTGTAAATGGTACCAGTGTAATTGACTATATTATAGCCTCTTCTCCATTATTTGACAATGTTGCAGACTTTGGTGTAGAATCGCGATCAGATTCAGTTCACCTTCAGGTTACTATGACATTAAGAGTACCCAAAACACACAAACCCTCAAAACCAAGGAATGATCAGGCTACTAAATCTTTCAAGTTTGTCTGGGATAATGACAAATCACAAAATTTTAGAGATCAACTCTTTTCTGACCAAGTTCAAGATTTACTTGATAAATCAGTAAATACAGCATTGTCCAATATTGATGTAAGTATTAATTACTTAGTGGATGCCTTGAAATTAGCGGGCTCAGACATGCAAAAAAAGGTTAGAAATCCAAAGCTTAGTCAATTGTGTAAATGGTATGATGCAGAATGTGAGGGTCTTAAAAAGATAAGATGTAGGGCACTCAAAAAATTCAGGAGATGTAAAGATAAGGACTCACTTAGAGAATATCATAACTTAAGAAACAAATATATAGCTATGTGCAAAGAAAAGAATATTTACATGATAAGCAACAATCCTTAGAAAATAACATTCATGACTCTAAACTATTTTGGTCAGAACTGAAAAGTCTAAGCAAACATCAAAAGACAAATAATATCAACATTAAGGATTGGTACATTTACTTTAAAGAATTATTTACTTTCACAGATACTGATCAGAGCCCTGAAAATCAGTTCCAGGAGTCACAAGATAATACTCAGACTCAAACAGATACTCAGTTTGCAAATGATAAACTGGATTCCCCTATTACCAGAAATGAGATTTTAGAGAGTATACACCATCTTAAATGCAACAAATCACCAGGAATGGATCAGATTATTCCCGAGTTTTTTAAACATTCCTCAGATATCATTGTACCTTACCTTGAACTTATATTTAATGTTATAACAGAAAATGGAACATTTCCAGATGCATGGTCAATAGGGATAATTGTGCCAATACATAAACAAGGTAATCTAAATAATATAAACAATTACAGAGGTATTTCACTGCTAAGTAGTTTTGGTAAACTATTCACAAACATAATAAATTAAAGGTTAGTGTTTTTGGCAGATACCCAAAAAAAATCAATGAAGAACAAGCTGGATTTAGAGAGGGCTATTCAACTATTGACAACATTTTTATCCTTCAAGTTTTAGTTAACAAATACCTCAGTGTCAAGGGTGGGAAACTTTATGGGCTCTTTGTTGACTTTGCCAAGGCATTTGACTCAGTGCAGAGACATAAACTATGGAACCTTTTAAGATCACATGGCCTCAGCTTTAAGATGAACAAACTATTGGGTAGCATTTACGAGAATATTAAGGTGTGTGTGCGAAACAATAATGCGATTTCAGAAACATTTATTAGTCAGTTAGGCGTATGACAAGGATGCATCTTAAGCCCATTTCTCTTTACTTTTTTCATAAATGAACTGGCTGTAATAAATACCAACTGTAATTATGGTGTTCAGCTCCATCCAGATATTACACAGATATTTTTACTTTTATTTGCAGATGATATTGTTCTCTTTTCGTCAACAATCAAAGGACTGCAGTGTCAAATTAATGAACTTGAAAGTTACTGCAATAAATGGAAGCTAACAGTTAACATGAGTAAAACAAAAGTTTTGGTATTTAAGAATGGAGGTCATTTAGCAAGTAAAGAATATTGGCCCTTTAAAGGACAAAAAAATAGAAACTACAGGATTTTATAAATATCTTGGTGTTTACTTCAGTAGAAACTTGTCATGGCATAAACATTTGTATCAAGCTGCTTTACAAGCAAGAAAGGTCTTTGTAAGTATCCATAAGAGTTTGAAAGTTTTAGAAACCATTTCTCATCAATCTTTTTTTAAAATATTTGATATAAAGATACTCCCCATTTTGTTGTATGGGGCAGAAGTCTGGGGTTTACTGCACTTTGATGCCATAGAAAGGATTCATTTATATGTTTGCAAAAAGTATTTAGGTGTTAAAATAAACACTTCCAGCTTGGTGGTGTATGGAAAATGTGGAAGATTCCCTCTCTATGTATATTCAAATATAAAAGTTATTAAATACTGGCTGAGACTTATTGACATGCCCTCATATAGATTGCCAAAAAAGTGCTATAATATGATGATAGTTTATGATAATAATGGGAAAAGAAACTGGGTTACAGGTGTTAGAGAATTACCTTTCAGTTGTGGCTTTGGTGATATTTGGCAAAACCAAAATGTGTATTCCAAACCAATGTTTATACTTTCATTAACCCAGAGATTAAAGGATACTTATTTACAATCTTGGACTTCATCATTGACTCTAACAAACAAATGCTTTTATTACAAAATGTTTAAATCAGAAATAATTATGGAAGATTATTTATCAAAAGTTAATGTTAAAAAATTTCGAACGGCTCTTTCACGTTTTAAATGTTCTTCTCACGACCTTTTAATAGAAACAGGGAGCTATGTAAACATTCCTCGTGAAGAAAGAATCTGTAATCTATGTAGTTTAAACTCAGTAGAAAATGAATTTCATTTCTTACTTGCATGTCCAGTGTATTTACACCTTAGAGAAAAATACCTGCAAGCTTATTATTACAGGTACCCTAATATTACTAAATTTGTTACATTGCTGTTAAATACAAAAAGAAGTATCTTACAAAATGTTTCCATGAACATATATTATGCCTCTTTATACCGACAGAACCTTATGAAAGAATAATCTTAGCTGCTTGGTATAAGGAAACTATTGTGTATATACATTAAGTACATATTTATAGATATTTGCCATCTGAATAAACTACAAACAAAAGAGTTAGAAATGGTATTAAACTACTAGGCTGTCATATGATATTGTGGGACGTGATATTACAAATGGTTAAGTATAGTTATATGTATATGAAATGATATGATGTGACATGACATGATGTGATATGATATGAAGTGTTGTGGTGTGATATGATACATGAGGGGATATGATGCAATATATTATGTGTATTATAGAAATTGTGTAAATACTGTTTTTTAGTGTACATATTATATGGCTTGTGGTCGTCCAGTGTTGAATAAATATTGATTAATTGATATGAAATAAATTGGCATGGAATGACATGGCATTATATGGTATGATATGATAAGATATGATGGGACAAGCTATGACATTACAATATAGTTGTGATATATGGTACGATGGTATGTATAGTATGTTATGATAATGTTATATGAAATAATACTATATAGTATGATCTTATAATAATGATACAATATGATATGATGTTATAGAATATGTTGTATGATATAACAAGTTGTGATATGGTAATATAGAAATTATGAAATTACAGGGTATGGTATTGTACTGTATGTGTGAAATTATGTGACTGCATTGAAATGCGAGGTGGAATGACGTGAGGTGATCTGGTGAGATATGTACAGAAATTGTATAAAACTGTATATTCTTCAAATTGTACTATAGGCCTGTGGCCTCTTCAGTATGTGAAATAAAGATTAGAACACGGGCCAAGCCTGTGACCGACCCATTGACAATAGCCAAGAAAGAAATGGCTGAACTACCCAAGCTATATACAGAACTAGCTTACCTGTGAATTAGTAGATTTGTGCAAGTGCTGAAGTTAACACAATTATTTAGTAAAATAAATGTTAAATATTTAGGTTAGCTTATTAATTTAATTCATGTTTGGTTACTATGATGATACTTTAAAATCTAACAATATTCTATTTACAAGCATACTGCTACATACTGTAACATTATACAGTGGTATATAGGTAGATATAACACTAGTTGATAGATGTAAACACATTTGAAGATACAGCTGTGCGTTTAAAGTAGATTTTGACAGCCCGGGCCAAGTCGGACCCAACACAAGCCAAACACTTCTGATAGAGACTATGTTGAGAATGTAGAGGGAAAAGGGCCTCACTTTGAGCCCTTTGTTGTCTTTAAATACGATGTACCGTGACATTATAAAGTGGTATATAGGTAGATTGAATAGTAATCTATAGATGTCAACACATTTGAAGATAGATTTGTGTGTTTATAGAAGATTTTGACAGCCCGGACCAAGTCGGACCTAACACAAGCCAAACACTTCTAATAGAGACTATGTCTAGGATGTAGAGGGAAAAGGGCTTCACTTTGAGCACCTTGTTTTCTTTAAAGACGATGCACTGAGACACTATAACGTGGTATATAGGTAGATGTAACACTGATCTATAGATGTAAACACATTTGATGATACATTTATGTGTTTAAAGTTGATTTTGACAGCCTGGGCCAAGTCGGACCCAACACAAGCCAAACACTTTTTATAGAGACTATCTTGCGAATGGAGAGGGAAAAGGGTTTCATTTTGAGCACCTTGTTTTCTTTAAATGCAGCGAACTGAGACACTATAAAGTGGTATATAGGTAGATATAATGCTAGTCTATAGATGTAAACACATTTGATGATACATTTGTGTGTTTAAAGTGCAAACACTTCTGATAGAGACTATGTTGAGAATGTAGAGTGAAAAAGGCTTCACTTTGAGCTCTGTGTTTTCCTTAACTACTGAAATATGAGACAATGAAATGGTAAATAATTAGATATAATACTAGTCTTTAGATATAAAGAATGTTAGGAACTTTAGAAGTACTTGGACAGTTATTAACACGTGTCGTGTCAGTCCTTTGAGATTCCCGAATATCCACTTGAAGAAAACATCCTGTGTTGGTTTAACACGAATTAGTAAAGGTTAATTACCTTAACACGTTAATTAATGAAAGAGGAGTAGTCAAAACACTGTCGTTTCCTGCCCAGGACATCATACCCCTACGCGCTAAGGTCGGTGAGAAGCATTCTAATCAAAGAATACACACAGTCAAGACACTGACTTTTCTACGAGACTCACGGTATGTAGTCATAATCATCAGTTTATTACATTGTTGACGGTGCATTTTTATTCAAACCCAATTAAATGAGCAAAACTATACGTTTGTGGACATTTGAGATCGGCCTAGATATGCGCGTTTCGTTTTATTATTCTGCAATCCATTTTTAGTATTACCCGCTGGCCCGGCCCGGCCCGACTTTTCTTGGCCCGACTTTTAGGCAATCCCATGATATAGGTCGCCCTGGACCCCGTCAAAATTTGTTTCTCAATCGCAAGAAGCCTCTATATACAGAATATAAAATTAAGGTTATATTTTTCACAATGTTACTGTACGAGTGTTGTTCGAGTTTCCTGTCCATTTTGTGCACCAAGACCCTGTGAATATACATGTACATGAAAACGAAAGTAACCGCAATGTTCAGATTTTAACAAGTTGATCAGTGGTGCCTATACACAAACGCATATAATTTACTGATATTTTAACATTTCACGCGATGACAGTTTAGGAACATTAAAACAGTAAAACTTTTTTCAAAATTTTGCATTGGTGCAAGAATTACCCACAAGGTTCCGCACTACACACTACTTCAGTATATGATATGCTCATGTACACAGTGTAGTGACCTACTTTTCTAAGGGTATTTCTTTGGCGAAAGTGTCTACTGCACATGTACATTCATGGACTACATCAAATGCATATATGAACGAGTGAGTGAGTTGGGTTTAATGGCGCATTGAACAGTATTCCATGGCGCGTCTGCTCCCTGCATGATTCCCAGCAGGATTTAAACTTCGGTCACTAGTGGCTGCACGTTATATCAACCAGTCTTAAAAAAAACCAGCAACTAAAAAACGCACAAAATACAATTAAAGCTCTCAATACTAGTCTATTTTATACCCATTGATCAAGAAATCATGAAATCACCCGCCGGAGGATAATACTATTTTAACACTCTGAGGTGAGGTGAGGTGAGGTGAGGTGAGGTGAGGTGAGGTGAGGTGAGGTGAGGTGAGGTGAGGTGAGGTGAGGTGAGGTGAGGTGAGGTGAGGTGAGGTGAAATGGGGTTTAACGTCGCGTCAAAAATTACTGCACTTATATAGCGACGTGCATGTACGTGTGTGTGTGTGTGTGTGTGTGTGTGTGTGTGTGTGTGTGTGTGTGTGTGTGTGTGGCTGCTTGTACTAGTCCGGACTGATGCCGATTTATAGTGCTAGCTCGCTGAGATACCATCCGAGCCGACCAGTACTTGTTTTAGCCCCTTAATGCCGAGTTCCATCTTCAAGTTCCATCTTTTAACGTCTTTGGGTAGGGCGGACGCTCTACCACAAGACCACGGAGGCGGTCTCTGTGAGTTATGTATATGATGAGTGAAATCATGAATACCTTCTTGGTTCTTATGAACACTTGGATATAACACATCTTCCAGTTTGTAACATGCCTGTGAAGGGATGAGATTTCGAAGTTTAGGTGGGAGTCTATGCTTCTTGAAGCTGATCCATTGTTTCCCAACTATGCCTTTGCTCATGGAATGCTTAACATGTACATTACACACATATAACCATTGCCTCACGACACATCACAATAAAAGAAATTGATACCAGTTCATATATCATGTTCATTATCATTATGTCTTTTCGCAGACAAACATGTCGGATCTCGTGTCAGTGGCTGCGATCAAGGATCTTCTGACAGAGTGTCCAATATGTATAGAACACTTTGATGAGTCAACACGAATTCCTCGTCGTATGCCATGTTGTGTACAGTCAATATGTCAGCCCTGTCTGGAAACCTACACCAGAGGTGCTGCAACCCTATCCTGCCCCATGTGTCGACGCCGACATAATCTGCCTGGAGGGGTGAAATCTCTGCCAAAAGAGACTCTCATCCTGAAGACTCTGGACTACCTCAAGATCCAGAAAGGTCTCCATCTTCCATGTACAGATTGCCCTGACAAGGAAACAGCTGTAGCCCAGTGTGACAACTGTGGAACATTTTTATGTTCCCTTTGCTTAAGTGCTCATAAACGGAATACGGTATCAAAGGCCCACACTATAAATACCTTTGATGAAATGAAGGGCCGACCTGTGCAGAGCTTTCGTCGTCTACATCAGTGTAGTCAGCACCAACAACCTCTACAGTTCTACTGCTACACTTGTGATAAGGTTGTCTGTGTGTCCTGCACTGTAGTAGATCACAAAGAAGGGAAGGGACACAACGTCGTGTCCGTGAATGAAGCACACCAAGCAAAGGCGAAGACTACAAATGATGTTTTAGGAAAGATGGAGGAGAAGACAAAGAGGCTGTGCGAAACGGAGTCAGCCCTTCAAAAGAAGATAGAGAACATCAAATTGTCAATGAGGTTAGCACGAGATGATATCAACAAAATCTTTGACAATCTGATCGAGGGGCTGAATCAAAGAAGAACAATCCTTCTATCAGATGTTGAGGGGAAATCTACTAAGAATCTGAAGCTAACAGAGGAGGCCTTGGATTCGACAAGACTACTGCTGACTAAAGTGAAATCTTCTTCCGAATACATGCGACAGATGCGCAGCAAAGCTGACAAAGTGGAAGATCTACAAGTAATGGGGTCTTCTGAGGCCTCTTTGAAATCCATGTTCAAGGAGTCACCAAAGGAAATACCCTTTGACAGGACTGGAGTAATTTTTGTTCAAGCAAACGTAAAACATCTTCAGGATACTATCAAGGTGGCAGGAATGGTCAGATCAGTTACGTTCTCCCCAACAGAGAGGCCGAATAGTGTGCCAGATACTGTAGTATACAACGCCTTCACACTGGAACCTGCAGAGTTTCCTACAGGTAGGTAGTAAACTATTACATATTGTTCATCTATTAATATGTGTGCAGCTACCTCCTATGTATGGAATCCTGGAAGGGACTTTGTTGCTTTGTCACATTGTCGCCCTTACAAAAACAAGCAAAAGGTGTCAAAATTAACCAAAGCGCGACAATGCAAGAATACAACAATAAGACATTTTGGCTATTTGTCACATTGTCACATCATCGAATTGTTGCGCTTTGAACAATATTTCATATTTTACTAAAGGTCGACAATGCAACATTTTTCAATTTGAAAATATGTCACCTTGTCGCCCATCAAAACTGAGCGAACAGGGCGTTAAAATGCGTGACAACACGACAATGCGACATATTGATTTTGTTGCATTGTCGAGTTGTCGCCCTGTTCAATTATTGGTGCGCATGTGTTGTAAGTAAATTAATCTACGCATGCGTACAAATGGTTATACCTCTTTTCAAACTCCAGTGGTCATTTGCTAGCTCCAATTGTTCCAAAACCAAAATAGCAATGGCAATGTGAGTAGCTTTTCTCAAAGTTAAAAGAACTCTTTCATCGTTGCTTCAGAAAGTAGTTCATATATCGTTATTGTCTGTGTCATTTTCCATAAACCTTATGTGTCTTCACAGCAAGAAACAACGTTTCTATTTAATTTAATTCTGATCTCTGACATCTTCTCAAATCGATGGCCCTGTCGTTCACGTCTCTTACAAATGTGAGTGAGTGAATGAATTAGTATGGTTTTACGTCGCTTTTAGCAATATTCCAGCAATATCACGGCGGGGGACACCAGAAATGGGCTTCATACATTGTACCCATGTCGGGAATCGAACCCGGGCCTTCAGCGTGACGAGCGAACGCTTCAACCACGAGTCTACCCGACCGCCCCCTTACAAATGTAGAATTACCAAAAAACTGTGATCGTGGAATTGAACCCCAGCACCATACACTCAGGGATTTCCTGACACACTGTGCAATAACTGTAATTTAGTTCAAAGCGGCGTTAAACCACAGGTCACGTTAGATTGGTGTTTGTGTTCGGCTGCTTGGCTCCTGAGAGTTTCTAGGTCTTCAGTCCTGCTCCACACTGAAGCACATGCAACACATGTGGTGCCTCTTTGGGCAAGTGACTTTGTTTTTACGATAAATTCACTGTGCAGAGTGATGTCCCCTAAGCGTGCCAGAACCTTATGATCGTGGGTACGAATTCCCAGTTTGTTCTAATTAAGTGTCTTCATTTTTGACCTAAATCATTTCAGGCTTTTCTCCAACATCAGCTGACACGCAATGACTGTTCAGAGCGGCGTTAAACAATTTTCGTCTCACGATTTTCACAATAATGTTTCAGCAATGTCAATATTTGAATCATATGTACTTTTTCGGAGTCAATACATCGAACTTCAGATAACTGATGACCCTTAAGCTCACAGACTTAGCTCCTTCGCGGACGCACATATATGCATGCGCATTTGTAATTGTTGTACCTGAGTTCGATCCCTAAGAGCATTTCTTTATAACCATAGATAATGTTTTGTAAAAATCTCCAAAATAAGCAGTGACCAGTAAAAGGGCGACAATGTGACAACGCAACTTTTTGATTAAATGTCACATTATTGCTTTGTCACGCTTTGGTTAATATTAACACTTTTGGCATAGTTGTAAGGGTGACAACGCGACAATGTCCCTTCCAGGATTCCATCATATGGTATGTAATGTCTAAAGTGAAGGTTTTTAATGAAAGTGTTTTTTATATCTTACATATTTTAAAATTGCCACTATTTCCCCTAGCGGTGAAAAGCCGATTCCCTTCACTGACATACCCACTTGAAGCAGAAATAGAAGGGACAGTTTTATGTTACAGTGTTCTTTCTCGGAAAATTTCTAAGAGCGTCAAATGACACTTGCTCAAAAGTTGTGATCTGTTTCTGATGTTTATGAAAGCTGTAACATAATATTCTATATCCAATACTATCTTAACGTGTGAATAATACCTTAATTTACAAGACTCATCAATTCTCATCTGGATACTCTTTTTACAATCCAACAAACGATGCCTGAACAATTAACATCACCAATGCAAACGTAGCCAAATGCATAAATGTCGCGTAAATGTTTAACATGAGTTATGAGTTATGAATTAATCTTGAGGGCGTTTAATCTTGAAGGTATCAATGCATTTAAACCAAGACAATCTGGTTGAAAACAGAACTGCAGTAAGTACTTATATTAATAAGCTTATCATTAAAAAATCACGTTCATCATCCCTTAAAGTGCCACCTCTTCTGAACACCAAACCCTCGATTTTAGACAAAGTCCCAACGTTTAATAAAAAAAAGAAAATGAAATGTCAATTTTGATTTGCAGACCTAGTACGGTGTCATCGAATATACACTAATCATCTGCATATAGTAAAAGTAATTGGTCAATGAATTCCTCTCCAACAAAACATTCCTCTTTCCGTCATAGACTGTAATTCAAGGTTAAACATCGTGAATAGTCGAAAGTTACCCAACACTCAGGCTTGTCGAACGCTGGTCAGTGATTCGAAATAATCTGAAAGAGAGTTTTTTTCTGTCTTGACAGCACACTGGATCTTGAAGTATAGATCCTTCAAAACCTCCAATCAACGACCGTTGATTCCATTTTCAATTAAAAAAACCACAAGAGCTTCCTGTTTATCGAATCGAACGCTTTTCGGAAATCAACAAGCAAACAATAAAATCTACCTCGACATTAAGAGAGATACTTTTTGTGCTAAACACTGTAAAGTAAATATATTGTCAATTGTACTCTATCTGCTTCGAAATCCGGCCGGAGCTTCAGGGATTGTGTCATAAATTTACGCAAAAGTCTTGAGCCGTTCATTTAATATTGTTGTTATCAACTTTCCAAATACATCCACCTTATCAACTTTCCAAATACATTCACCAGCGTTATGCCTCTTTAATTATTGACATGATTAATATTATCTTTCTCATGCACGGGAAGTCATCACATCAGCATTCAGGAGATTATTCATACCATCATCATTTCAGTAATTGCACTCTTTAATAGAATGGCTGGTGATAAAATCTTGTTCCGCGTGTAGATTGTCCCCTTCCACATGTATATCCCTTAAATTCAACCGATGCTTGAAATATTCTGTCTATTGCACATTGCTTATACCTGGGCTGCTTGTCACAGAAGGTGAAGAAATAATATTGTTGACACGTCTCCAAAAGGATATTTCATTCTTGCTATTATTGACCAAGTCATCTATAGAATCTTCCTCATGCTCAAATTGCTTGTCTCTTCTGTGATATCATCCACTGTCATTTTAGGCAAAGCAAAATTACTGTGTGTTCAGAAATCTAATTATCGGATTGAATTTCAAAAATAGCACATTAGTGATCACGAGAATCTGTTTTTCACCAAAACATCAATGATAGTTCTGAAACGTCGCCGAGGAATCTGGACTCGTTTAGAACGTTTGGGAAAATACCCAAACACAAACGCCGAAGTGCACTTTCCGCCATATTGGATTATGTTGACAAAAACCACGTTTCACGTATGCGGGTTATGAGACGCCTATTAGATCACGTACACATCAACCTCAGCTGCGATACATGCATCCCTGAATTCCTCCTACATTTTAGAAGCATGTGGCAAATGGTGTTTGTCACCAATACAAATTATCGAGATGACATCAAGGGAAATAAATTAGGTGTGGAAACGAACACTGTGCTCGGAAAACTGTACTTGTTGAAATATAAACCAAGCAAAATTCAGATTTTACACTCTCCCATTTTGAGAGATCAGTTCGTCTAATTGATCAGAGAAATTCAACAGAAATCGTAAACGTTTCCGTCGTGTGTGACGCCATGACTGAAGCAAAGTCGCGCACAACGACGACGGTAATTATTTGCATTTCTGACACATTCTCTTGGTTACACTGGAAAACATAAAAAACAAATAACAGTACGCAGTTAGTCTGATTGTTTCTGATTATTTACATGACACATTTATGTATATACCATCCATCCCTCAATCAACGAAAATCCTCCTCTGAAAATCCCGCGTACTGTTGTCAGTGAACACGCAATTTTGTAGACGTCGGTCACCGGCAGTGATGTTATACGATATGTAAACATTGTTGTACATATTTGGTAATTTCTTTGATGTGATTTTGTTTAACTCAGCATCATGCGGCTTCTTTGATCTCATCTAGTTTGCACTATCACCATGGCCTTTGTAATCCATAGATGGCGGAAACGTTTTCAGGTTTAGGTGTAGGGTCACATTATTTATAAATAGTAAGCAGTACGTCGGTTGACGTCACTCATTATCGGAGTGTTATGTATTAATGCGCCACTGCGATCATGAGATCAGACAAAGTGCATCAATTCGATGCTAAAAAGGTGCGATTTTAGGTTGTGTAAGAAACAGATTTCTGCACGAGTGCCTGTCAGATACCATTTTTCTTACAACTCGTTGTTTCAAAACGTATCTAACTCGCTTTCGTTCGTGAGATACGTATGAAACAACTCGTTGTAAGATAAATAGTATCTGACAGGCACTCGTGCAGTAATCTCTTTATATTTTGTCGCCCTGCACTATGGGCCGTATTTACTTCCAATGACATAAGGCTTGGAAAATGATCCGACTCGTACCATGTTCGTACATGTACAGTACTGTGGTAAATTAGTCACTTGAACATAAACGGAATCAACCAGACTTGCTTCGTCTCCTTTAAAGGGGCACTGATCTTCAACAATTCCCCGGGACTGATTATTGCCTTTATTGTTGTGTTTTACCGTAAGTACCCTGGTAATATCCCAGAAATCTCGACTAGTTCGCGACCTGTGCTGCGCCAACAGTAAGCGCATTTGTCGCTTTTATTTAATATTTCACCTGAGCATTGCTTATTCTATCGTTTGTAAATGTTATAGCCAATGTGTAATATGACTAAAATTTTCACTTAGGCAATATATCAAACTTCTAAATATTCAGTAATTTTACAAACTGACTGACAAATGTATTATAACGAATTCAAATTGATGTTTAACTTCATCCCCAAGGTGAAAATAATAGGATTAAAACAAAACGAAAGTCAAAGTACATTTCCATATTTTTTGGTTCTGATCCTAGCGTAATTAGTCTGTTGTCATGTTCTAAGCGCTCTTGAATGTCTCAATATATTTTAGACAATTTGTTATTTAAATGGTCATTTGTAAAATAACTGAATATTTAGACTTTTATAAATTGCCTGAGTGAATCACATTTTACACATTAACTGTAACATATACACGCCTACAAACGAAAAAGGCTTGTAAAAACAACGAGTTGGTGTTGTCTGTCTTGCATGAGATTGAAAACAAAATGCAAAATTAGTAATTACAACCGGACAAAGCTATATGTGTCATATTAGGCAATGACCTTGTTTGGGGAATGTATCCGTGAATATCCACATAAAGGAAAAATACCCATAGGTTAGCAGCTGTACAAAGAAGCTTGTTAGATGTCACGTATTTTTGTAACAATCTAATATCTAAATATATACACATATATACATATATAATATTTAAAACTCTATATAGCGTTTCTTGATGTTATAACCCGAGGTCGTCTCTCAACTGATCACGTAAATTTGTTTCAGGTGTTTCATATGAGTGTCAAGTCTCATTGGTCAGCTTTAATAGCACACATGACAACTATGTTCATGATGGCCACGGTTCTTTAAAAAAAATCAGTGAGCAATCAAAAACGTACTATTGGCTAATCCGTTGAACAAAATACATGTATGTTGTTTTTACATAGGCATAGAAAACCTACCCATGTAAACACTTACTTGTGACAAATCCACTGTGCAAGTTAACAGTGATTAATCAATCGACGTATATTCGGTTAATCCTTTGATGGATGTTTTTTTTTGTAACTCAACTGATCATGCTTTCTTGTGGGGCTGTGACGTGCGTATTACAGAACATGCATTTACCCCCAGTTAAAACCTGGATTTGGATTGAGTAATTACCCCTGACACAAGAAATGCCAAGTTGGAAGTGTTGTCAGGTATACTGAGTGGTTCTACCACTAATTATATCTTTAATAAATTGATTAACTCAGCATCAAGTGAATGACGACAAATACACAGGTGTTGGTATACCACGAAGGATGGATGACAAGGGAGTGGCAATCGCATATAGACTATCCTTTATATGGTCTCCCTGGTGTTAGCCATGTCATCCGAAATCTAAAACTGCTTTCACTACAGGGATACATTTTAATTAAACCATAACCATCAGGGGTATTTCCCAATAATGACATCGGGTGGGCTTCCATCGTTCTTTTTGTCTGTTTTATTAGGTTGAAGAAATTAATTAACATGTGCCCTTTGTAATTTCGAAGACTTCATCGATCACAATTAACCAATCATTGTTCAGAAATGCGTATAGATATTGCCTCAAAGTTTATTTACGCTGTTATGGAAATATTTGTTGTCACGTTTTATTTATGATTCCCTAAACCGAAAACAAATAAGGCCACGTCCACTAACTGACCTCTCTGTCCTGATTGGCTGATAAAAGAATGGGTTGGGCTGTAGTTGCGTTATTGCGCTAAACGATAAACTGATTTTGGATTGTCTACAGTTTCTTTTGTGGTCAGGATTAGAAAGACACCATGTGAAGTCATAATTTCAACGTATTTATTAATAAGAATTACTTCATATGTAGCCTCAGGTACACATATAGAAATATTTTAGTGTACACGTAATTGACACTTACGTTTGTGCGGATGTGTTACATTTATGAACATAAACAAAAAGACATAAAGACTGTTCCCTGAATACATACTGCAAGTATTGATCGATAACAATATATAGTTATTTAACATTTCGACTAATAGACAGCTGATAATCACTCAATACTAAACAATGCCAGTTCATGCCAGTCTTTACTTTCTGGATGACGAATGAGTTGTATGACGAACATTTCTATAAGATCCGAAAAAAAAATTAGTTATGGTGTAAAATTAGATTCAATCATTGAGCTGGCTTGAGAATCAGACAGTGCTTTGTGTTGCCGAGATTTTGTTATACTTCAACACGTAGAATTTTTTTGCCACATTTTTTCGTACACCAACAAAATACTATCTAATTTCTGAAGGACATAAATCTATATCAAGTTGATTTGCAAGTCTATATATAACGTTATGCATTCGAGTTTGGTGATAATTTGCTGTGGATAACGACAATGTATTTTCGCATTGTTTTGTTAACAATTAACCAATCCATTCCAACGTCACCTCAAATCATAATTAATGAGGATATCATACTACATGAATAGGAAGTCATAGCGAAATGGATGACCATATCTAACATGTGAATTAGTCCCTGGGTTCAAGCATTCACCTGATTGTGTCATTGTCATGTGACTCATGGTGTACCATTAATAATCAAGTGCTAGCAAATATGATGAAAACTGATAATTTGACAAAATTTCGTTTCACGTCATGACTTGTTGTATGTCTTTGGAGACGCGGCATTGAGACATGACGACATTGCTATATTGATCAATATAATTATATATTTCATCAACGTGCGTTCACCTGAACAAAACAACCTGGATGTGTAAAAAAGAATCTGAAACTTATTCGGCAACATTGATTTATGTTTATATCATGTAAGTAGTGTCTTTGAAAAAAAATGAGTTCGTTTATTTTTTTTGATAACATAGACATTAATACTACATATAAAAAAGAAATCTAAAAAGTCAAATCTGTTGTTAATATCGGACGAATGTGTGTAATTAGAATGTGGTTTTTCTCTTCATTTTGTCTCAGTATTTTACATATTTTCAGAATAAAATATGATTAATTTTGTTATTTAAGCATTGACGTGCAAGCTCAGACGTTCATACAGTTTGACCCTTACTCTATGGAAGCCCATCCTCGAACTCACATAAAATGTCAATTTGAATTCTTATCATGTTTTTATTTCACTATTTTATACCTCGAAGGATGTGTACACATCTTCAAATAGTACGTCATGTTTACACTAGCAACCGTAAACCAACCAACCTCACAAAGTCACAGTTCCAACGGGTCGTACTACATTCACATAAAGAAGAAGACGTCTAAATGTAATAAGTGATGTAAGTGATGTGTATAGGGTATTAACGTCGCTTTCCAGATTATTGTACTGATATAGCTACGTGCATGCATGTATGCATGTGTGTGTGTGTGTGTGTGTGTGTGTGTGGCTGCTTGTACTGGTTTGGACCAATGCCGATTTCATTGTGCTGGGACACTGATATACAATGAGAGAAAGTTCCCTCCAGCAATCTTGTTTGCAGGGTTTTTTCTAAAACGAAATTTGGTTTGTAATGTCGTTTCAGAAATAAAATTTGGCGTCTTGACAAATCAGATCTTCTGTTCAACCTCAAAGTGGGGTTGAAGGACAAAGACATATATGTCTCTGTGGTATCCGGGGGATAACAGTCTGTCACACATTATCACGCCCTGTCAGCTTGACATGGTACGAACACCAACTTGGCGCACGTTGATGGCTGGGATTCCATTACGTGTGGAAGCTGAGGGACACAGTCCCGTCCAGTAAAAAGCATGTTGTACTTCCCTTTTCACATGATGATACTGTTAAAACAGGTACGTTCTGCATTATTTGTTTGTTTGTTGTTTGAATCTGCACCCAGCGGTATGCCAGCTATATGACGGCGGTCTGTAAATAATCGAGTCTGGACCAGACAGTCCAGTGATTGACACCATGATCATCGATGTACGCTATTGGGATACGATGACATGAACCAACCAAGTCAGCGTGTCTGACCACCCGATCCCATTAGACCTGTTCTGACCCGGATCTTCACGGTAGACCTTCTGCATTAAAGTAGTGCGAGCAGGTAGTACGTGTACATGGGACACACATACTGATTAATATCTTTGTTTCAGTGATGGAGATGGACCGGAGCATCTGTGACCAGGAGATAACATGTAAGATCTGCCTCCTTGACTTAGTGATGTTAAAGTATATTATTCATTGGTTTTGTCATTCATTTGTCTGTTGAGTTCGATAGGTTCGACAACTTTTGTGATCTAAACGAGCGTAAAACGCAGTGTCAGTCAATGTTAAAGTATAGGAGCTATGATAGGATTTGCGTTAGCGATGTTCCATTCAAGAGGTTCTTGGGTTTTCAATGTTATGTACAAGAAATATACAAGAGAGTGAGTGAGTGAGTAGGGATTTACGCCACTTTTAGCAATGTTCCAGCAATATTACGGCGGGGGACACCAAAAATGGGCTTCACACATTGTACCCATGCCATTGTATCATATACCATGGCATAACATTGTAAAATGTATCTGTTTGCCAGTGAATGAAATACATTATATTACTGTCCACAAACGAGCAGGCGACGCACTAAGGGACATAAGTCGGGCTGATTTCGATCGTTATATCAGCACGGCCGGGTTATTACACCCCTGTGAGCCAATATGGCGATGGTCATATCACAGGGGGGTATCACAATAACCAGACCCGTGTTACACCCCTGCCGGGCTGTTATGCCTTGTCAGTGCACTTAGAATGAGCTATTGATATCAGCCCGATTGGAGTTGGTGCGTCGTCTGCTCGGCTAATATTCCCTTGATAGCGTCTTCTCAACAAGGTGAAAATGTTATGGATGTTTATGAATGGATACATTATTTTATGGTATATGATAAAAAGGTTATTGTATCATATATATCGACCACCATTCATTTGGCCCTCGGGATGGCATGGGGGTCTCGGTTTGATATGAGGTGTTACATGAAAAATGCCATGTAAAAACTCGAGTTTCCACTGACACTGGTAATATGAATTCATTTATCAATTTGCTGCAGCTGCGCGCATATTCGTCAACAAGAGTTTTTGTTTTGTCTGTGCATATACGTGCCTGGTTGTATCCACGACACACCACAAGGTGTGATCGAAGTACACTGTTTACAACTGACCTATTTACCATTGTACGAGACTGCACACACCATACGAGGTAGTCATGTCTTTCAAGTTGTTATAATAACGAAAGTAGCAACTGCGCGTGTGTAGAAAGGCTAAGGTGGAGTGGTGTCTGTGTACGTGTATGTAGACGCCTTCTGTACATCTCTCTCTGTCATTTCTCTTAAGGTAAGAAAGTTAATCAGTCTGTTGATTATGACGTGTTGCTGTGTCAGGATCACAGAACGTATGTAATGCAGCAGCGTTTCTGTTGGAGTAGTGATTATATAAAGTTGATGTGAATGTCGAGTTACTTCCTGCTTGTTTTCAACATCTGAATGATATAGGTCGCGTAACATTTGTTACTCAATGACAGACGCAAGAAGCCTGAAATGTCGCTGTACCCATTTTTATACAGAATACATGTTTCACAATGTCACTTGATGAGTGTTGTTAGTGCTGCCTGTCCATGTTGATGGCAACTGTCACCGGGTCGTAAAACAAGTCTGGTCACATTCTTGAGATTTACTGCGTCGTCACCGTTCGACAAACAGCTTCCCTTTCCCTAATATGCCCGGTGTCGCCACCCTTTAATATTGACAGTAGCGGGTGACTTCGCCAAGGTGAACACTACCAAGCTTACTGTCGTTCATTTCCCGACGAACGTCAGTATGTCACATGATTACGTTGTCAATCGCGCGGAGACATACAGAACTACTTTAAGGGAATTCCTCAATGTAAAAAAATAACATTAAAAAATAATTAGGGTAAACTGAGTGCGACATCGATTGAATGATCACGGAATTTGCTTCATTTCATCAGCTGATCAACGTCAACAAATACAACTTCAATCCTTAAGTTAAGTCGGGCGGATGCCATACTCCGGTGTCCTACGTTCATTGTCAGGGAATCAGTGACCTGTAAATTTTAATTTCTAGTGGTTTAAATCGCATACTTCTATCATCCGCCGGAGTTTGCCGAGAGGTGACGACGCAACGGGCAATTAAGAAAGAGGTGAATGTTACGTTCACTAGACCATGACTATACTGGTTTTAAGACCAGTTGACATCAACACACGGATATAACAAATCTTTCTGACATTTTGATAAACCACATGATGGGAACATTCAGTGAAGCTTCTTTTTTCAAATTTAAGCATTTGTGTAAGACCTGCCCACTTGGTTAAGTACACACTACTTCACTACACGACATGCTGTATGTAAGCAGTGTACTGCCCTACCTTTCTATGGCATGGAGTATTTCTTTTACGAAAGTAGCTTCTGTGCATGAACACTCATTGAGTACACTCAAACTCATATATGTACGAGCTCATGCCACCGAACAGTATTCCATTTATATCACGACGTGTCTGCTTAATGTGGGAGGAAACCCACGAACACGGGTATGGTGCTGGCATACCTAAAAACATAATCAGGGCGAAGCGGGTTTCGAAAAAAACGATCATGACTAAAGGACACAACTGTGTACAGTGAAAACCGGTGCCTTAGACGACTGGGCCACCCGTGTCCTCCATACATGTACTTGTGGTTCGACCTTTTCTATTGTTATTCCCGAGGTGATATGGGACACAGGCTGCTCAGCTCTCCACATTGCTGAAACCAGAATCGGCGGTTCGAATCTAATATTTGCTCCTGTTATGATTCTAAGTTTGTCAGCACCCCTTTCATGCACGTGAGTTTCTCTATTGGGTACGTTACTTCGAACTTTCCTCCCAAATTAAGCTGACATGTCGGTAAATACTTGAACTACAGTGAGTAGAGTAAGCCCAACATCACTCTCACATGGGTTAAAATAATACATAGCTTTACACATAGCAAAAGTGATATACCCGAAAGAGAAACATGTATATGAGGAGTGGAATTCTGAATCCTAGTCTGTAACATTCGTGTGAAGGGATGAGATGCGTATGTGTAGGTGGGAGTCTATGCTTCGGGAAATTGATCACATATATAACCACTGTCTCACGACACTTTCAAATTCATAATATATGTTGATATCCATCACAATCATGTAAGAAATTGATTTCATTTAATTCAACATGGTCGTGATGATTGTCTTTTGCCAGACATCATGTCGGATCTTGTCTCAGTGGCTGCGATCAAGGATCTTCTGACAGAGTGCCCAATATGTACAGAACACTTTGATGACGCAACACGAATTCCTCGTCGTATGCCATGTTGTGTACAGTCTATATGTCAGCTCTGTCTGGAAACCTACACTGGAGGTGCTGCAACCCTATCCTGCCCCATGTGTCGACACCGACATAATCTGCCTGGTGGGGTGAAATCTCTGCCCAAAGAGACTCTCATCCTGAAGACTCTGGACTACCTCAAGATCCAGAAAGGTCTCCATCTGCCATGTACAGATTGCCCTGACAAGGAAACAGCTGTAGCCCAGTGTGACAACTGTGGAACATTTTTATGTTCTCTTTGCTTAAGTGCCCATAAACGGAATATGGTAACAAAAGCCCACACTATAAATACCTTTGATGAAATGAAGGGCCGACCTGTGCAGAGTTTTCGTCGTCTACATCAGTGTAGTCAGCACCAACAACCTCTACAGTTCTACTGCCACACTTGTGACAAGGTTGTCTGTGTGTCCTGCACTGTAGTGGATCACAAAGAAGGGAAAGGACACAACGTCGTGTCCGTGGATGAAGCACACCAAGGAAAGGCGAAGTCCACAAATGATGTTTTAGGAAAGATAGAAGAGAAGACAAAGAGACTGAGCGAAACGGAGTCAGCCCTTCAAAAGAAGATAGAGAACATAAAATTGTCAATGAGGGTAACCAGAGATGATATCAATGAAATCTTTGACAACCTGACTGATAGGCTGAATCAAAGAAGAACAATCCTTCTATCAGATGTTGAGGGGAAATCTGCTGAGAATCTGAAGCTAACAGAGGAGGCCTTGGATTCGACAAGACTACTGCTGACTAAAGTGAAATCTTCTTCTGAATACATGCGACAGATGCGCAGCAAAGCTGACAAGGTGGAAGATCTACAAGTAATGGGATCATCTGAGGCCTCATTGAACTACATGTTGAAGGAGTCACCAAAGGAAATACCCTTTGACAGGACTGGAGTCACTTTTGTTCAAGCAAACGTAAAACATCTGCAGGATACTATCAAGGTGGCAGGAATGGTCAGATCAGTTACGTTCTCCCCAACAAAGAGGCCGAATGTTGTGCCAGATACAGCAGCATACAACGCCATCATACTGGAACCTGCAGAGTTCCCTACAGGTAGGTAGTAAACTATTACATATTGTTCATCTATTTATCATATGTGCAGCTACCTCCTATGTATGGAATCCTAGAATGGACATTGTTGCTTTGTCACATTGTCGGCCTTACAAAAACAAGCAAAAGGTGTCAAAATTAACCAAAGCGTGACAATGCAATAATGAAACAATGAGACACATTTTTCAATTTGAAAATATGTCGCCTATCACAAATGCGTGACAACACGACAATATGACATATTGATTTTGTTGCATTGTAGAGTTGTCTTCTGGTGCCTCCCCAGATTCAAAATTCGCAAAAAAATTCCCCAGACTGTTAATTTTATATGGGTCAAACACTGACTTTCTCCGACGAGATCATCGGCCCTGTTGTTCTACCGCTTTTGCGTCGTCATTGCCCAGGCATGACCTTTCAACATGACTACGCACGGCCTCATATTGCTCGACTATTGTTCGATATTCTCTTCAACCAAACAACGTAAATGTCATCCCCTGGCCGGCTCGCTCCCCTGATCTCTCACCAATCGAGCTCAAGTCGGATGAGATGGATCGGCGCCTTCAACGTCAGCCACATGTTCCAAAGACGCTCCAGGAACATATTCCAGCATACATGGACAGATAACCCACAGGACTTTGTGCGACGCCTGGTCCATTCCATGCGACGAAGATGTGTTGCTTGCATCGCAACCAAAGGTGGACACACACGCTATTGATGTGTAATTTGACATTTTGGCATGTTCATGTTTTTTATGAAATCACGCATTTTCTGAAGTCAGTATGGCAAATTAAACCATTTGAATACTTACAGGAGTCTTTTATCTGTTGGAAACCGAAATTGTTTCAGATTTGGTAAAAAACAAAACTTTGCATTAAATCTTATTCAATGTCAAGGGGTACGGCTGGCCCAGTGATCTAAGGCACCGCCATTCGCTGTGCAGACTAGTGGATTCGAATCCCGGTTCGCCCCGATTATGTTTCTAGGTTTATCAGCACCATACCTGTGCTCGTGGGTTTCATCGAAGACCTGCATCACATCGGGCTTTCCTCCCACATTAAGCTGAGACGCCGTGATATAACTGGAAGACTGTTAAAAGCGGCGTAAAACACAACTCACTCACAATTCAATGTCACAGGAACTTTTGTTGTTCAGTATAACTCTACAAGACTGTTTCACAACAGGGTTGATTCCAACTTTCCAACTTTCAAAAAGTGAAATTCCCCTTTGTGACGAGCAGGTTTCCAGCATTTTTAGGTTACACTGGAGCATGTTCTTTCTCCGAAGATTTCTAGGAGCGTCAAACGACGATGTTCAAAAGTTGTGATCTGTTTCTGATGTTTCTGAAAGCTGTAACATAATATTCCATATCCAATACTATCACCAATGTTCTGCTCGTGCAAACGTAACCAAATCCATAAATGCCAAGTAAATGTTTAATATGAGTTGCCCAAGTAATTCTATCACATTCATCGAGCTCCTTCATTGTGAATAACATTGTCGGGGATATCTGTCATCATTCATTCTAATTGGTTTATACCAGCATTTAACACTCTTCATATGATAATCCACGTGCAAACCATATATGTGTCACATTAAATATCTCATTCAGAATATTCAGTTATTTTACAAATTGACTGAAAAATGTATCATAACGAATTCCAATTGATGTTTAATTTCACACCCCAGCTGAAAATGAAAGGATTCAAACAAAACGAAAGTCAAAGTACATTTCTATATATTTTGGTCTATATTTACGCTGTTATGGAAATGTTTGTTCTTACGTTTGATTTATGTTTCCATAAACCGAACACAGAGGCCACGCCAACTGACCGACTAATGTGTCTTGATTGGCTGATAAAAGATTAAGTTGGGCTGTAGTTGCATTAATGCTCTGAACAATAAACTAATATGTTTTGTTGTGCTTTTGTGTTAAGGATTAAAAAGACACCCTGTGAACTTCAACGTACTTATTTAGAAGAATTGACTTCATATGTAGTCTCAGGTACAAATATGCAAATAATTTAGTGTACACGTAATTGTCACTTACGTTTGTGCGGATGTGTTACACTTATGAACATAAACAAAAAGACATAAAGACTGTTCCCTGAATACATACTGGAAGTATTGATCAATAACAATATATAGTTATTTAACATTTAGACTAACAGACAGCTTATCAGTCAATGATAGTGTTTAATTTCACAAATATAGATACTTAAGCTGTATTTGTTGAGGTATGTCATCATAAATCATAGTTAATGAGGATAATACTACATAAATTATTCCCCACATTCAAGCATTCGCCTGATTGTGTCAGTGTAATGTGACTCATGATGTACCATTAATAATCAAGTGCCAGCATATTTGATGAAAACTGAAAATTTGATACATGTTTGTTTGACGTCATGACTTGTTTTATGTCTTTGGAGATGTGGCATTGAGACAAGACGACAGTGGTATATTGATAAATATTATTATATATTTCATCAACATTTGTTCAACTGAAAAAAACAACATGGATGTGTAAAACAGAATTTGATACTTTTTCGGCAACATTAAATTATGCCTATATCATGTAAGTAATGTCTTTGAAAAAAAATGAGTTCGTTTATTTTAATTTCATAACATGCGTAATTGTTAAACATTAATATAATTACATGCAAAAATTCTAAAAGTCTATTGTTTATATCGGACGTATGTGTTTAAATAGAATGTGTTTATTCTCTTCATTTTGTCTCAGTATTCTACATATTTTAAGAATAACATATTTTTAATTTTGTTATTTAAGCATTGACGTGTAAGCTTCGATTCATACAGTTTGTCCCTTACTCTATGTAAGCCCATCCTCAAACTCACACAAAATGTCAAATTAAATTCTTATCATTCTTTTATTTCACTATGTTATACCTCGAAGGATGTGTACACATCTTTAAATAGTAGACCATGTTTACACTGGCCACCGTAAACCGTGCATTTATGCGTATGTATATATATATATATATATATATATATATATATATATATATATATATGTGTGTGTGTGTGTGTGTGTGTGTGTGTGTGTGCGTGTGCGTGCGTGTGCGTGCGTGTGTGGCTCCTTGTACTGCTCCTGTGGCTCCTTTGGACCATTGCCGATTTCATAGAGCAAGGACACTGAGATACCATGACGGAAAGTTCTCTTCGGCAATCATGTTTGCGCCTTTTTTTGTAAAACGGACTGAAAGATTCTTTAGTTCATGGTGACGTTTCAGAAAGAAATTGTTGTCTTGACAAATCAGATGGCAGTGATCTCGACTCAACCACGGATAATCTGCAGCAGAATTCAAAACTATGAAGTGCTTTTAATGTGCATGATGTTGAATATGTTCTATTCGACCTCACAGTCATGCATGTCCCTGTGGTATCCGGGGGATAACAGTCTGTCAGACATTATCGTGTCCTGTCAGCTTGACATGGTACGAACACCAACTTGGCGCACGTCTTGGTTTCCATTACGTCCCACCCAGTGAATTGCATGTTGTACTTCCTTTTCACATGATAATACTGTTAATACAGGAACGTTCTGCATTATTTGTTTGTTTGTTGTTTGAATCCTCACTCAGCAATATGCCAGCTGTATGACGGCGGTCTGTAAATAATCGAGCCTGGGCCAGACAGTCCAGCGATTGACATCATGAGCATCGATGTACGCAATTGGGATTCGATGACATGCACCAACCAAGACAGCGTGTCTGACCACCCGATTCCATTAGACGTATTCTGACCCGGATCTTCACGACAGACCTTCTGCTATTAAGTAGTGCGAGCAGGGAGTACGTGTACATGGGACACATACTGATTAATATCTTTGTTTCAGTGATGGAGATGGACCGGAGCATCTGTGACCAGGAAATAACATGTAAGATCTGCGTCCTTGACTCAATGATGTTACAGAATATTATTGGTTTTGTCATTCATTCGTCTGTTGAGTTCCATAGGTTCGATGGCTTTCGAGCTCTAAACGAGCGTAAAACGCAGTATCAGTCAATGTTAAAGTATAGGAGCTCTGATAGGATTTGCGTTAGCGATGTTCCATGAAAGGGGTTCTTGGGTTTTCCATGTTATGTGTAAGAGATATACAGTAGAGTGAGTGAGTGAGTGAGTGAGTGAGTAGGGATTTACGCCAGTTTTAGCAACGTTCCAGATATATCACGGGGCGGGGGGGCTTCAGACACTGTACCCGTTTGGGGAAACGAATCAGGGCCTTCGGTGTGACGAGCGAATGCTTTAACCACTAAGCTACCCGACCACCTCAATATATAGGAGAAGAACGCTTTCTTTTTCTGGTTGGTAGATAGTAGTGTCTTGTGAGTTAGGAAGTTAAAGTGTTATACATTACAACAAGAAGTGTTGGTATTCATTATGGACGTTTTCTTCCCACAGGCCCGACTCTGGAATGGGACTCAAGCACTGCTAATAACAATATTGACGTGTCTGGATGTGTAATCACAAACACCACCCCAGCCGTCCCTTCTCCTGACACAGGATGTCGGATACAAAATAGCAATTCATGCCTGGCATCCAGGCCTTTAATGGTTAAAAACTGTGAAGGCCAGCGATGCATGTGTCGCGTAAAGTTTCGGGTTTGTGTAAAGGAATTGTTAGAAGATAATAAACTTATACAAGAGATTGCCCTGACCCCCACCCCTGTAGATGCTGCGTGGAATCATTCCACTGGACTGAGTGTATATGTTGGTACTTCCCCCAACCACAAGCAGCAGCTGTGTCTCCGTGTGAGCTATAATAACACCCTCCTTTCTGATCGCCCTCTCATTCAGAACAAAGTTGGACAGTCTTTTGACCGACAACTGTATTTTCTAATGGATGGAACAAATGACAAAATATTAGTTATTGATGCCGGTGATAACACAGTGTACACCACCGCCACAGATGTTGCTTTCGACAGACCCATGTGGGTCATGATGTATGTTGGTTATCCCGCAACATCAGATGTAAGAGGAGAACTGATTACAGGCCACAACATCACAGGAACCTTCGCCAACTACAATCATTAGACTTTCCACTATCCACAACAATCACACACTCTATGTAACATGCAATGTATACAAGCACAGCTCAGCAAAATAATATGTATGCCCTTGACACATTATCAACCTTTCCTCAATATCTTACTATCTTACTATCTCAAAGCATAAAGCGTCAAAGTGGACAGTCGTTAAACGCAGACTAGAATAACAAAATTTATGACTGAATATTCTAATGCTAGCATAAAATGCGTCTTACCTTCGAAGAGTGTTATATCATACAATCATATCAATTCTCAATTACCGATCATCGCATGCTGACCACGGCAAATACTATTTCAAATCAGCATCACACTGTTGTGTCGTTGCCGTGGTTCACTATGAATGTATACACACATGCAGGTAGAACAGTACTATTGTAGAATATAATATAAAAATATAGAATTGACCACAACTTTGAAAGTCCTGACACAAAAAAAGTCTTCGTTGAAATCATCTGAGGATCGCCATATCACCTCAGTCAACGCGTGGCAACGGATAATTCATGGGAGATAACTCGTGTAGTACTACTGGGGCACCACCACATCTCTTTCCCCGCTCCATATCGACACACCCTGGCCTGTAATCAACTCATTTCAACAGCCCCGTGATGTTCTTTATTACCATGTTTTACTGCAATTGTAAATAGCCCGTATTTATGTATTTTATTTTTTTATGATGTACTTTTTCATCTGATTTCATGTTCTCTACTTCGACCATGTTTATGACGTTCACAAAGGACTACGTCATTTAATGTCAGCGAGATTGTTATATATAAAGCGATGTCAGTCATATGACGTCATCTGACTAAGTAAATCACCCCCAATGTAAGGGCTGGACTGAAAATTATATTTTCATAAGGGTTTTTATTACTCGGGGCACGGGCTGCCCAGTCGTCCAATGCGCCGTGATTCGATGTGTCATGGACGGGGCATAGCCAGGTGACCGTGCTTTTGAATGTTATACTTGGATTAAGGTTCTTGGTTCATGAGCAATATTTCCGTGATTTCAACATTAAACTGACGCGCTCTTATTTAACTGAGCTAATGCTGAAAGGAACTTACACACTCCAACCCAAATTACTTTGACGACACAATAATGATGGCTGACTTGACCTGGAACAAGAAACACTCTTAAAATATGAACGTGTGTTTCCTACCTGTGTGGTTATGTAGGATGGGGATGAGGTTGGGTAATTTATGTTTCTATCGTTGCTTCAAGGTAGGTTGGGGTGAGGGTGAGTAGGATGTAACCAGTCAAGGCTGGCGAAAAATAATCGTGTGTAGATCATTGTTTCCACCCTGGAAATCCAGACTAGGCCTATTTTGGAAGATCGCCCGGGGTTGCTTCAAGGTAGGATGGGGTGAGGCTGAGTTGGGTGGGTTGGGGCTTAAGGTTTGGGGGCTGGGGATAGAGGTAAGTCGTTTTCAATGAAACCTTTTCGATTGATATTTTTTAGTGACTGCTTCACCTCTTGCATAACACCACAGGAAGGAAATCATGTGGTAAAATTTGTGGAATTATTATCCAAAGTTCTTTCCACAGACATTAATCAGTATCAGCTGTAATAATTTATGTTTCTACTGTCTACTGTCAACTACAATGTATAACGTGTCTGCCTTGCTTCCTTAAGACATTGGTATTTATATTTCTTGCAGAAAATAGAACCCAAGAGCCCCATTAGTATCAATGTTGTATACTTGCTGTGTAGTCGAACACTACTAGCGTTAATGCTGCTGTACATGGCTTGTGTGTGATACTCTGTGTGGGGATTGCACCTTATTGTGAACATTAAAATCCAGATTAAATCCAGACAAGGCCTGTTTTGTAAGATTGACCGATTAATGTGGACTTTATTATTTTATTATATATTACATGTACACCGAGTGAACATTTACCTACATTTTTGTATATATATACATGCCTATTTGAATGGGGCTTCTAAATTGCTTGAATTTGTGAGATAAACTTACCCTGTTTTGAAATTTGATGTAGTCCAACTGTAGAGGAGATACTTCTGATTTGAATTTGTAACCGAGCGCTTTACACGAACCAATGATGACAACCCGATCTATGATGTGGTTCCACATTAACCAGTTGATTTACTGGGAATGAGCCTGCTGGTGCAATGTGATTGCCAATGAAACCGTTAGGTATTTTATGACACAAGTGATTTTTTTACCTGTCAGTTTTAAGATTTCACGGCATTCTACGCTACTATTTGAATGTGACAGTTGTGGCTTTTACACAGAAGCTCTGTATCTTTAGTGAGAAAACGCTACATCCATCATGAACTAGTGTCCTGTATAAACATTTGTGCCCATTAGACACATAAGGTTCAAACATTCCACTGAGTGCATCTGCTGAAATGTCAACAGTCAAGGCTGGTGAAAAATAATCGTGTGAAGATCATTGTTTCCACCCTGGACATCCAGACTAGGCCTATGTTGGGAGATTGGCCGCTTTTCCTTTCAAGGTAAATATTAATGACTTTATTGCTCTCATTTATACTTTTGTATATTATACTGACATTGGATTTTGTACTGCCACTTTAGTGTGTACACCCATTGTAATTACTTTGCAGTAATTTGTACCTATTTGTAAACTTAGTTAATTCTATATCACAGTTGTTGATTGTATAGTATTTCTTTGCCGTTTCTTGGGTTTCACACTAAATATTTTTATACATGGATTTATGGGTCCTCTTGTTTCAGTTTGGACGTCAACACGTAACATAATACAAACCTATATTATTTAAATATCTAAATATATCACTTAACAAATGCAAAGTATGTGTGATTTAATATTTGTGCCTTCGTTGATTTGAATATTAATAAAACTATCAAAATGTATTTGTCACCTTGCACTTTTTTATTGATTTACCTTGTGGATCTAGAAAAATTCTGACAACTTCTTGCGTGCTGAAAGAGGCAACTAAAATACGGATCAGATGGCCAGGCTCTGTGACTAGGTTGATTGTACGTCATTTGGCATGCATGTTGCTTTAAACCACCGGTAAGCCTGATCTAGACTCGATTATTGACAGGCCCCCATGACACAGACAGAGCATTACTGACTCAATATACTCACTTGCTGGTAGCAGCCTTGGGAAAGGCGACTGCTGTAATCTATTTTGTGAATCTGTGACTGTTTCAAATAATTAATTTCGGTCGTATTTTATGTTGCCAATGCCGATCGCAAGGAAGGGCAACAGGTTAACTTCTTTTAGAGTATTTCGGTGTGACGCGGCCGGGGATCAAACCACCAACCTTCCGCTATCTTGGCAGACGCACTATCCACTAGGCCACAGAGGCGATAAATATGGTGCCTGAAGGAGGTGTAATAGTGCAAACGTACGAACTTTAAACTGGTGCAAGTTGTAACTGACTCCCTGTAAACAATAAATGTGCTTAAAGATGATAGTACTACGGCTTAAAACGCTTTGTAGCTCTTTTATTACTTTAGTTTAAGTTCTTTTAGATTATGACATGCTAACTAATTCTAAGGTATGCCATCTGTGACAGTTAAACTCAAACTTAAAAGTTCAACTTCGGTCAAACTATTGTTAGCAAGGAGATAAGTACATATCTAAACAAAGTCGACGAACTGACGTCTTTGCACGCGGAGAAAACAATCAAGTAAAGTTCAAGGAATTGTTTCACACATCTGAAAGAGAATATTTTATATTGAATCTGTTTTTTTACTGGTTAGTGTATATACCTTTTTATGATTGCAAACATTATATTCCTGTGGCTATATTGCTGATGTTTTGTAACGCACTCAATAACTGAAAGAGAAACGAGGCCATTGAGATAACCTACAACGATAACATCAAACCCTATTGTAATAATTAACCCGGCCGTCAATGTGTGCATTGTCAAAACCTGTCAGTTCTCGTGTGCGTGACACATATGCAGGGCTGTAGGCCAGAAACGCCCCACGAATAATTACAATGGAAATAGTTTCAAGAGACGTTTGTATTAAGTGAGTACAGTTTGTACAGTGAGTACAGAGAGTACATGTTGCAATAACCAAGGATAGAAGTTTCTTGTTTAATAACACACTCTGCAATAATCCAGCTATAAATCGGCGGCCTGTATATAATCGAATCTGGCCAAGAATATCCAGTGATTAATGTAATGAACAGCGATCTATGGTGAGGTACGTTGACGCCAAATTAACCAAGTCTTCCAGCCTGACCACCAGATCCATTTTCTCGCCTCTTACGAGCCGCATAGACTGCAAGTGACCAAATATAATCGGGAATCCCCAGGAGGCAGAGGCAGGATGTTTCAGAATCCATGCAGAAACTGATAACTGTTTTTGAAAGGAAAGGGCATTGTTATACAGGATATATGAAGTCTACTGGTATAAGTATATTTAAGCCTCTCTTAATTGGATATGTGTTTAAAGCTGTATGTTTATCTAGAATCTTAAAAACCGATGTTCAGCTATTCGATAAAGTGTAAATACGGCAATGATGTATTGGCGATGTCACACAGTGATATATATTTAAAACACTTGTGCTAGGTTTACGATACATACAAACCAACAAATATGTTAGGCTATGTACTGCATATGAGTACCTAAAACCTAACATTGACATCGCGAGCACGTTAGTTCCCTTGCCGTGACTTGTGTCGGGAAAAGTGTGTGTGAGAAACTGATGAATATCTTATGCCTGTCGTGCCCGTCGTGCTATAACAAACCATTTACATGTAATCACTCTACTCTATCACGACATAGTCTGATTTTAAATCTCATGGTCGCCAACATTTTCTTCAAAATATGTTAGGCTTAAATTCAACTTTGTATATGTGTTTTGTTAGATATGTGTTTTGTTTGTTTGTTTGTTTGTTTGTTGTTCAACGCCGCACTCAGCGATATTCCAACTTTATGACGGCGGTCTGTAAATAATCCGGTGATTGACATCATGAGCATCGATCCACGCAATTGGGATACGAAAGCATCAACCAAGTCAGCCAGCCTTACCACCAGATCTCGATCGCCTCATACGACAAGCATAGTCGCCTTTTATGGCAATCATAGGTTGCTGAAGACCAAGTTTTAGCCCGGATCTTCACGGGTCTGTCAGATATGTGAAGGACATGTGACTCAAATGATGTCAGATATAATTCCCTATTTCAACTTGTACCATATGTTCCCCCGTTTGTCCTATAATTCAAATTACAGGAACCGCCAACAATGTCATTTACCAAAGCGAGCACCATTTCATTCAGGCTGTTCAATTAAGGGAAAGTGTTGCAGAACGTCGACTTGGCAGCTCATAATGTGAATTCCACTACCTGTTCCTGCTAAGACATAGCATGTACCAGCCTATAGGTAATATAATCACAGGTGACTTCTCTTTTGTTGACAATAATAACATTCGTCAGTCATTCAAATATGGACCAAAATCATTCCAATGAGCAGTATCATTCAAATTGGGATCACAACTGTAAATCTTTATGGATGCTGTCGAAGAATATGCCAATAAATGGGGCAAAGGAGAAAAGGAACCTGTGAATGTCCTCCAGAGTGGGTTAAGTCTGTGCGTGGTGTTGTCAGTGGTAGAATGCACAAACTGATAAAAGAGGAAATAGAAATGGAACAAACGAATTCTGTCCCAATCAGCAGTCATCCAACTTCTGACTGCTTTACATGAAAAGTCGTTGTTCCCACTGACAAGGCCTCAAATAACATAACCATTACATGTTAGCATCCTACACACATTGGTTCGTCAAAGAATTTGGAATAAGTGACATATCAAATAATGCCACATATAAGGCCAATATGTTAACTGAGGAAGAAATCTGCCAAAACCATGCATCAGTATATCACGTCAAAAAATGAAATCCCGTATAATCGCCGTAACCATGCATCAGTACTATCGACTTTTGACATGACTAGAAACCTGAAGACATATTTACTCCTAGTTTGTACTGGATTCCAAAGCTCCAACAAAATCCGTACAAAGAGAGATATATTGTTGGGTTCAGCAAATGTACCACCAAACCCAAGATCAACCATAATCCTTAACACAATCAAGGAAGGACTTTCTTTATATTTACAAAAACTATTTGGCTTCCGATCTTCGTCAGCAGCCAGCGGGTAATCGAGGGGTGTAGACTTCATATATTTATCGAAATGTCGCCATGATATTTAACTTTTGGAACATATACGTATCTAGGTCAGTGGAGTAAAAGTTTGACAGGTGTCCATTTGTCCTTAAATGTGTCCATTTAAACACTCATTCAGTGAAGGGGAAATCCCGTATAATCTAGATCAGATGATCAATAATCTATTACACAGCTGCCCCGTGTCTACATTACAACTAATCAAAAATGAATTTTCACACTAATGGTGTATACATTTTAGCATTTAAATATTTATAAATTCACTTTTGATGATAACAGTTTTAAAAACCAGTGACTTTGTCCTTTCACAAAAGTAAATCAATGTGTACCAAGTAGCGACAGCATTGCAGGCCAAGGTTTGCTGTTCTCTCTTGAATAGAATTCATTAGTAGGGAGTTTATGATGAGGATTGTCTTCACATGCACCAGAAACAATATCAACATAACCAACGAAATATTGTAATTCTATTCCAATCATATTTGAGTGAGTGGGTATTGTCTAATGCAGCTGTCAGCAATGGTCAAGCTAAATAACGGTGGACTTTATGTTTGGACAGACCGTCAAGTGGCGGATCACATTAGCAACGTCCCACGCCTTCAGGGTAGGCCGACACTCGATAAGCATGTCACTATAGTTAGGTCCGACCAACCGATCACCACTAGTTGCCTCGTACAAACAATACGAGTGTTTGGGACCTATTCGCTCACTCATACATTGACATATACAACATCCCCAGAAGGTTATTCTCTATGAAACAATATACTTTTCCGGATCTCTTTTGCACATCGGCATCAATGTGTATTGTATTTCTGCTCTTTGTCAGTTTAATCAATTAAAGTTTGTCTGACACGTACGTCATTTATACGAAATTGTGGCAAGTTAAATATGGTCATTCTCAAAGAAAGTTGAATGTAACGTTGTTTATACAGTATTTCGGTTTATCACGATGTGTGACTACAATGTAGGAGTAAAATCTTAGGTGACCGTTTCAATGTTTTGTTTCGTTAGCACGGCTGTCAGGCTGAAAATCCCCATTTCATAACTGAAACATTTACGGGATTCCAACAAAAGCTTAATTGTGGATGAAGTCATTTTGGTGTAACCAAATAGCAGGGGTATGGTACCGATTAACCATGGACTATAATCAAGGTGATCATTGGCTTTTTCTAACCCATGATGACATATTTGCACACTGCTAATTGACATAATCCTGCAAAATGATTGCTCCACCTTGTAACACAGGGCGTCCTGTAATTTTGGACTATTGTACCGAAAGTATAGGTATAGGTAAGACTGCTCGGAGCCGATGTTTTATAGTTGAAATCGTCAGTTATACCCTGAAGTGCAATAACCAACATTCATTTTCCCTTCAATACTGTAGTCCTTATTGTGATGCTATATCCCTAAATGAAGCAAGTCTGGATTCTTCAGAGGTTCTGAATCCCCCATCTAATTGGGGTTCCTTTTCAATTTAAGTGGTTTATTTCTATCAACATTAAATATTTTCAAAGACTATGAGTAGGTCTACACATGTACTTGGCTCGGAGGCAACTATGGTTATTTAATGCATGATGCGGAACACGTATTCAGATTAGATAGGACCATCCCGAGCACATTTGTTGATCACATAAATATTACATGTTGTATTTAGTCGTGTACAATAGACCGGCTCTGTGGTCTGGTGGTAAAGCGCCCGCCCGGAGAGCGAAAGGTCCGGGCTTCGATCCCCGGCCACGTCATACCAAAGACGTTAGGTTAAAAGATGGTACTTGTTGTTACCCTGTCTGGCGCTCGGCATTAAGGACTGGTCGTCTCGGAGTCAGTTTACTGAGAGGGGTGTGCGTTACATACTGCTGCATGGTATCACATTTGGCTTGGACTATGAAATCGGCATTAGTCAGGACTAGCAAAAGCAGCCACACATGTAAACACACACACATGCATGCACGTCGCTATATATCTGCAATAATCATGGACGCAACGTCATACCCCATTTCACCTCACCTCGTACATAATACGCACTACGAATTTTTATAACCAGAATTGTTATACACAAAAACAAAATATTACCACCTTTTACCCATCACAGCAGGTGGCCATGCAACAGAAGGGTATGACCAGAAATTATCGTTAGCTACATCCAGGGATGTATAAGCATATTAATAATGATGATATATTAATGTTTATCACTGCTTCTTTGTCTCAGCTACTGATTTGTAAAATTAACATGAAATAGTTTTTTCTCAAAACGTTTGTTGTTATTCTGTTGGCCATGTACCTGGCCATGCCAGATCATCAGTTCAACAATCAATACACACCCAGCGTTTGAATGAAAGTACTAAAACTACCTACAAAACAAAATTCATAAACATTTTCTGAAGTAAATATATGCAAATATCCCTATAATTAAATGTAGTTTTGAATTAATCAAACCTAGCATAACACCTCTGCCATCAGCTAATTTGCATGTCGCCGTGACCGGACGTTTCTCTCGTTTTTAAACAAACACTGAAATCAGAACAGACTGGCCTAATGCAAGCCTTTGGTGCGCTTAACGTATTGTTTTGCATAATTATATAGGTATGCTACTACAACTGCGACAGTGAGGTGCCCGACAATATATATTTATGCATCAAAGTGACTCGTATCGCCAGCTCTCCGCAGTGTAACTTGAAGGAAAACTACACAAATGGAAATATTTGTTCACGTCTTGGGATACGTTCTCAATGCAAGTTAACCATGCCATATGTTTATCTAGATGTGTAGACTCATCAAAAATGAATCCGATGAAAAACATGCAGTATCTTGAATGGACTGTGTTAGATGTGACGAATGCTGTCCTCATGGAACTGGGTAGGAGAGTCGACCGGACGGTGTCAAGACAATTAATGCCTAAACCAAGAACTGGTAACGAAACACATGCAGATCTAGGTCTTCATCTCGGGTGGCTTGCCATATCTTTTTTTACCAAAGGGCTTTTTGTTCCTCCTTTCAATGGGAGTTCTCCTGTTTCAACTTGTAGTGCTAGCATTTGGGCTTTGTGTTGTATTCTGTCGAGGCGGCTCAAAACAGTGCTGATGCTGAGAGGCCTTACAACCATAGTCTATTGTTTTAATCTGATAAGTGATCTGTAGAAGTTCGGTTGAGTGTTCCCTATTTTGACTGATAGCGACCTGTCTTGCAGGAAGCTGTCTATGTACTTTGCCATGCTCCCTTTTTCCCATTCGGTGCTAGTTTCGTGAGTACATCATTCCATTAACCATTTTATTCAGTATTTTAGCCAGCATTCACAACAAACCTCACTTAGCACTTGGATCTCCACGTCTGACAGCCTGTAATGATAATACAGAAAAATCAGTGCGTTTTCAACAAGAGAGATATATTTTCCAGGATTAAATTGCCCATAATTGCAACAATAAGGGGTCTGTCATACACAAAACTAGGGATACCGCTTCTGGTTTGACACATGCTTCTATTGTATTACTTATATGTAATCGGAATCGTACAATGGACTCTGCTTTTAGCAAGGATTGCGTATGATTATGGATTTTTTGCTTTTATTATAGACAGGTCCTTTGTTTATTAATGTTTTCCAGGAAAATGACCGTTTCTAGACTTCTCAAAGTCATAATATGATTAACCCCCTCCACCAATAGATATATGAAAGATTTAGATTAAAAGGTTTAAAGGCATTCCTCTTACTCAGTATGACGTTCCAAATTAACCTGAAATTGGGCATATACAACATATACAAAACCTTCAAAAACATACAAACATTTCAATGCTTGTGTCTCGCCTTTCGCAAAAGTATTTTCATCCATATAGTCAGTACATGGGAATTTTACATCCTCTTCTGGAACAATTTCGACCAGTTAACAAAAAATACAAACAGATAGATCAAGCAAGATAGATATCACATATTCACAGCTATACAGTTCTTGAGTTAACTTGTTCCTCTCGCTCAGTGTAAAAATCCACATTAACCTAGACTAACAGTTAATCTTTGAAAATATATACTTTTGATAGACACAAGTAACACCATATAAATTGAATAGGAGCCACAGTGAGATGAGAGTTTTGTGGAAAATCTAGACCTGCGTTATTTAGGGATACATCATAACAGTAGGGGCTGGGGAAAGGGGAGGAATATGCTTTAGGGACAGTGAGACAGCCTACACATTATCCCTGACACTGGTATGAATTCATATCTCAACTGTCTGCACGAGGCGCAAGTGTGCCCACACGGCGCGATCGAAGTACATTCTCAAAGCTGACCTACTTTACCGTACACGCCATACGAGGTATTCGTGTTTTCCGGGTTGTTCTGATAACGAAAGTAGCTACTGCGCGTGTGCAGATAAGGCGAAGGTCCAGTATTGTTTGTGTACATGTATATAGGCAACCAACTGTACTCTCTGCTGTCAGTTCTCGTAAGGTAAGAATGTTAATCTGTCTGTTAATCGGAGAGTGTCTTGGGGTGGAGGTTAGGGGGTGATTAACATCTGTAATGCAGCAGCTTTTCTGGTGGAATAGCTAGTTAATAGGTTGAGGGGATTCAGAGTTTTACACCGACTTCAATAGTATTCACCGTATATACCATATTTTCTCTATTAGTCGCCGTATCAACGTATCGCGCGAACGTAATAGACGTCGAGGCGTCTAATTGAGGAAATACAGTACGTATTGTGTGCTCATAAACCTACAACAAGTCTAAAATATTTATGAGTGGGCGGAACCTACATGTATGTGACCACGTCACACTTGTTTCGTACGCACTGCATCTCACCTGAACACGGAAGTGCATCGGACTTCTGCAGAGTTGTGACACCATACAGGGTATATGCCGGCACTCCATTGTTTGCGGTACAGTCACTATAACCTAAACAACCTGTAACTTCTTTGTTAAATAAGCAAACGATCATATAAGTGAATCCCTGTGAAATGAACAAAGCGAACTGTATATTACAAAGTGGTGTTTAAAGATTGTGTAGCTTTTAGGCAAGAATGTCACGGTTGGACATGTAATCTCTTAGTATGCCACATTTCTTTTTGTCATTTAGTCCTGGAAATTAAATACTGGAAACATGTGCTGAATATATTAAAAATAAAATAAAATCTAAAAGGTATATGAAAGTATTTCTTTCTTTATTTTTTCACACCAGTACGTCATAACAACACTGTTGTTGAGGTGCTTTATGTTGAAGCATCTTGCGAAAACGAACATAAAACCTCAGTCTAAACGAAGACATAAGTAGCTTTTAATTTAGGCATCCTAAATATTAATGATTTTTGTTTCTTTAGTTGTTTTTGGAGCACTCAGCAACGGCGGTCTGTAAATAATAGACTCTGGGCCAGACAATCCAGTGATCACCATCAGGAACATGTATCTAAGCCATTGGGATACGATGACAAGCATTAACCAAGTCAGCGAGCCTGACAACCCGATCCTTCTAGTCGGCTCTTACCAAAAGCATGTATCGTCGCAGGCCCATAGGCATAAATAACAGTAATGTTTAATTGGGGATGTATCCCCACTGGCATTATAAGTAGTAGTAAGATTCAAACCAACTTTCATTATAAATAATCGTAATGTTTATTCGGATGAAGATTGACCCCAAAGGCATTATGAACAGTAGAAATGTTTTATTGGGATGAAGATTCAACCAACAGGCATTATGAATAATAGCAATGATTATTGGGATGAAAATTAATCCCAAAGGCATTATAAATAACAATAATGTTTTATTGAGATGAAGATTGACCTAAGCTTTTTGAAAGAAATTGGTCTGTATCATAAATTTTAAATATGTATGTGAATAATTAAATGCTTGTTTTTTATTTGGTGTGATGCTATTATGAACTGACATTATTGAGGGCTCTGTCCAGGAGCTGACTTTGTGTGCTGGCGATTAGGTGCCTCACCCTGGCAGGTGTGGGTTCGAATCCCGCACGGTACTCAACCCCAAAAAAGTACTAGAATCTGTACTTTACTAAGAAAGTGTTATCCCAAATATAACATTAGTTACATTTGACCACTTTCTAAATGGCATTGTGTATTCATACTGTCCAGGAGGTTAACGTAGCGTAAAAATATTGTCCCCATGTGTGATCCTATCTAAATCGAGATCACTATCATGTTGGAACAGCTCCCTCTGGCGGGCCAAAGTTGGGAGTAGGTGATGACGCAAAATTTGGTCTATGTATTGGTTTGCTGTAAGATTGCCCTGCACAACCACTAACTGTGATCTATCCGTGTAGGATATGGCTCCCCACACCATGACACTCCCTCCACCAAATCGGTGCACCTGTCGAACGCAGTTCGGCGCAAAACGTTCATGTCGACGTCGGTATACACGCTGTCTTCCATCCTGTCGTTGAAGAAGAAAACGTGACTCATCACTGAACCAAACGCGTCGCCAGTTCCTGAGATCCCATGCCTGTACTCTGTTGCACCACCGGACACGTCGTTGACGGTGTAGACGTCGCAAGACAGGTCCAACTTTTGGTCGTTTCACTCGAATTCCCACTTCCCTCAGACGATTTCTGATGGTTTGGTCGGAAATTTTTCCCATACCAGGCACTTGTCCTTCAGTGTCCGTTGCTGTAGCAAATCGATTCCGAATGTGATGTAACCGGATGTACCGATCCTGAGCAGGGGTGGTCACTCTTGGTCTTCCACTTCTGTGATGATCTTGAGTCGAATTAGTGCTGGTATATCGATCCCATTGTCGAGATTTGGTGAACGTTGAAGTGTCTTGCAAAGGCAGACTGGTACTCCCTTGCTTCCAAACGTCCAATATTTCGGTCAGCTGCAGTTAATCTTGGCATTTTTCGATCTCTGTTTACGTCAGAAAATTCGTAGTGAACTGTTGAATTTTGTACGGTCTTTTATAGTCAGTGTCTCTACTATTGTTTCCAACATTTTGCACGTGCATTGTGCTGAAAACGTTTTCTGAAAGCAATTTCCGTGCATCCTTTGCATTTTTGCTGATAAACGTTTCCCCGAAAAACATTTTGAAATGTGTTTGCGCGCAGTGCACAACAAACATGACACGATTAACAGGAAGCAAACATAAGAATTGTCTTTATGACGATTGCTTGGAAAAAAATCTAATTGGAATTCTCAAAACACCTATGCGTTTCTTTTTTGAAGAGTGTATTTTATACAAATAGGGCATCATATCATATACTGTTTGGAGATAAAAGTTGTATCACTCTAACACCTGGAAATGTTTGTAATATAGTTTACTTTATATATTCTACGTGCATGAGGACCATAGTTAAGCAGTACAGAATGAATGAAAGTGTGTCAGAATCTCTGCTCATATGGATTGCACATTCCTGAACCTCTGTCTCTCCGACACATATGAATAAATAGAGAAAGGAACTCAAGTCTAGAATGATTTGGCAAGTCCTAAATGCCTGAGCCCTGGGCCTGATTAATAAACATTGTTCTAGGTGCTATTTGGATTTTTTTTTACATATTTATTTTACAAGCATGATAACTCTTTGTTTCTAGGACAACCTGGAATCTTATCAAGGTTTCTGAAATAAATAAAATATTGTTGTATCTTGTAGTTGACCAACTTATGCCATGCGCAGAGATTGCTTTGCTCTTGCATATAACAAGAAGGGAAAGATGTATTGTATTAGTATGGAGCCTGGTGACAAAAGGTTTTTATTGTGTTGGGTATGAAAGTAATAGCAAAGACATGTCAATGTTTCGATCAGGGCTACTGTGCATCACTGAATGTTTCGGAGATGGGCGAGTTGGGTTGACTCAGTAATTCGCGTAAATTTCGATCTGTCCGAAGTCGAGGCTTGCAAATACAGTACAGCACAATCTTCAAAGACACATAAACTACATGTTATATACCTGATGTGCAGATTGTGAGTTAAACATCGTATCACGCAATGACAGCCGAGACAGCGATGCGCTCGTTAGACGTCAACTAGTTTAGCGGAAGATAGTGTCACGTGCATACATAAGCCACGCCCACTCACGGATATTGTAGATTTAAGACCATTGTAGGTTTAAGGGCACAACATACGTATGATATTTAATTATTTTGGCATTTGCATACAAATGATAAAGTTTATAACGGCAGTTTCCTCTTTGAAAGAGACTATAATACAATTAAGCTATAACATTGTAAAACAATGTTTTATTATTTTTATTCATGACAACTTGCCGTTGACATTACAACTTGCTAATTAGAATCGTGCAAGGCATTTTTGGTGTGTCCTTTAGGGTCCGACCATTTGATTTGATTTGTATCGAATAAAACATTGCTCGAAAAAACCCTAAAATGCATCATACTGTTTGAATAAAATACACTTGTTTGCCACAAAGAAACATTGTTGCAAAGTGTTTAATAAAACATATTCAGGGCTCATTGGTTTATTTAGAAATTGGCGGTCCCTTCCACAAGCAAAGATGACATGTATGGCTAATGTCATTCCCACCAGAAGCGTGACATCTTTAAACTGTAAGAATAAAATTGATATGGAGTACATTGACACGCATATAAGTGTGCTAGAGTTCTGACCTTTGTCATTGTGATTTCCCATTAGATGTTTTGCAGGTAACCAGGATTATTTGTTCGAATCCCATATTCACCCCAATAAATTGCTCTTGGTTTGTCTGCATCATATTCAAGCTCGTGAGTTTCTACACTGTTACTTTAAACGTTCCTCCCACATTATGCTGACATGTCCTTATATCACTGAAATATTGTTTAAAGCAGACTAAAGCCCAACACCACTCAGGTAATCATCCGGGGCGAAATAAACTATTAGAATATCGCTTGATTACCCAATGCACAGGGGTTTTACTTGAGGTAAAACATGTGAAATCCCGAATCTGTTCTTGTCTCTTATCAACAACTGTATAAAACATGTATACTACATTGTAACAGACGTATGGGTTGATGACGTGTCAATATGTATGTGTACGGGTGTGTATATGTGTCTACTCTTAGAAGCAGATCATATAGAGTTTCCTCTTTGTGGATATTTGGGTTGTCATTCTTTCCCAATTATGCCTTTGATCATTGAATGCTTAACAACGACAGTACATACCCATTAGGACTACCTCATTACAGATTCTATTTCAATTTCATATAACATAATCGTGATGATTTTCCTTTGCCAGACATCATGTGGGATCTTGTCTCAGTTGCTGAGATCAAGGATCATCTGACCGAGTGTCCAATATGTAAAGAACACTTTGATGAGTCGACACGAATTCCACGTCGTATGCCGTGCTGTGTACAGTCCTTATGTCAACTCTGTCTAGAAACCTGCAGTAGAGGCACAACAGTCTTAGACTGCCCCATGTGTCGACATCGACATTACCTGACAGGCGGTGTTAAATCTCTCCCCAAAGAGACTGTCATCCTGAAGTTTCTGGACTACCTCAAGATCCAGAAAGGTCTCCATCTTCCATGTTCAGATTGTCCTGACAAGGAAACGGCTGTAGCCCAGTGTGACAACTGTGGAACATTTTTATGTTCCATCTGCCTAAATGCTCACAAACGAAATATGGTAACAAAAGCCCACACAATAAATACCCTCCACGAGATGAAGGGCCGACCTGTACAGAGTTTCCGTCGTGTACATCAGTGTAGTCGCCACCAACAACCTCTACAGTTCTACTGTCACACTTGTGACAAGGTTGTCTGTGTGTCCTGCACTGTAGTAGATCACGATAAAGGGAAGGGGCACAACGTCGTGTCCGTGGATGAAGCACACAAAGAAAAGATAAAATCCACTGATGAAGTTTTGGTCAAGATGGAGGAAAAGACGAAAAGACTGAGCAAAACAGAGTCAGATCTTAACATGAAGATACAGGACATCGAACTGTCAAAGCGCGTATCAAGAGATGATATCAACAGAGTCTTTGACAACTTGATCGATGCTCTGAAGCAAAGACAAAAAATCCTTCTGTCTGATGTTGAGGAGAAATCAGCTAAAAGTCTCAAGCTAACAGAGCAGGCGCTGGATGCAACAAGACTACTGCTGAGGAATGCCAGGTCATCTATAGAATACACGCGACAGATGAGCAGCACAGCTGACAGGATAGAATATCTGCAAGTATTGGGATCAATACATGAATACATGTTGAAGGAGGAGTCACCAAAGGAAATACCCTTCGTCATGACTGGAGTTAATTTTGTCCAAGCAAATGTAAAACATCTTCAGGATACTATCAAGGTGGCAGGAATGGTCAGATCAGTCACGTTCTCCCCAACAGAGACGTCGCATGGTGTGGAAGATTCTGCAGCATACACCGCTATCATTGTGGAACCAGCCGAGTTACCTTCAGGTAGGTAGTACTAAATAATATATTTCTCATGGAAATAACAGATACGATAGACAGACAGTATGAAGTAAGTGTACGAAGCGTATAAAAGGGAAATCACTCAACATAACTGCAATACAACATGTTAAACACGCGTGATTTTACTTTACTGATTTCACTGTAAAATATTGACAAGGAGTTCTTTACATTTATAAATTCGAGCAATATTTGGTAAAGTTGGTTGGTTGGTTGGTTGGTTGGTTGTTTAACGCCGCACTCAGCAATATTCCAGCTATATGACGGTGGTCTGTAAATAATCGAGTCTGGGCCAGACAATCCAGTGATTAATTTCATGAGCATTGATCAAAGCAATTGAGATCGACGACATGCATCAACCAAGTCAGCGAGCCTGACCACCCGATCCCGTTAGTCGCCTCTTACGACAAGCAGAGTCACCTTTTACGGCAAGCATGGGTCGTTGAAGACCTATTCTAGCCCGGATCTTCACGGGTCATATTTGGTAAAGACCTATTTTAGAACAATAGATTTTTGGTTCTCATGTAAATTAAATATCATACTCATCCTCAATTTCACAACTGTCACAATGTGTACATACACAATGAAACACCTGAACAACAGATCCTTTTGTTATAAGATCCAACATGGGCAAAAGCAGTAGGGAAAAAAGGTCTATCCCAAATTTTCTTTTCCAGTGTCATCCCAACCTTTTAACATTAAACAACAATCTATCCCCAACAACCTACCCAACAGCTTACAACTCTATATTGGCACTGGACATGCATACTGTAACCCCAGATCCCCAAAGTATGGCATTTACTACATTTTCATTTCACAAATAATATTATTGGAGACTTGTTTCCATCAAACAATATTGTAGCTGGCTCGAAATATAAATGGCTTTTGGTCTTGAGCAATTTATAAATGGGAATAAAAACATTTGATGCTGGTGTAGCCTACAAGGCAGGATGAAAAACGCTATACCCAGGTATTTGTAGTAAGATACTACAATTTTCAGTCGTATGTACATCGAATTTATTGTATGTTTCTGATGCGTTCGAAAAAGATCCACCCGTCGTCCCAAGACGGTTTTCTTTGTTTGCTAAATTACATGATTTCCTACTTTTGTACAACGTTCCCGTCTCAAGACTTAATTACGTGACGCTATTCCAAAGAAAATGTAGTATTGATTGTTGTCATGTCTTTCTATGTGGAAATGTTATACTATGTGCCACCCGCAGTGATAAATCGGTATTAAGGTTTGGAGTTCTGATGCATCTGAACAAGTGAGAAATGTCAAAACAGGGATTTGCATCATTCTTGTCACTGATGCGTCAATTTTGGAAATGTTATCAACGTCAAATGTCTACCATACATGTTTTTGAAAACTTTACTGAGGCCTTGAATTTTGTAACCTTGATCAAACAACTTTTGAGCAAGAGTCCTATGACTCTTTTTGAAATCGTCAAAGAACAGCATGCTCGATTGCACCTCAAAACAATGGAAACCCCAAAGACCGGACCCGCTGGATTCAGCTTGATATCAAGAGGAAATTGACTACTGGAAAGTTGAAGTCATCACTCTAGTTATACGGTCTGGTGAATTTGTTTGGCTATTCTGAATCTTTATTCATAAATATAAATATGAAACTGATGAGGCGGTATCATTTGTCTCATTTATTTCTACTTCATGTTGGTTGGTTGGTTGGTTTGTTGTTTTACGCCGCGCTCAGCAATATTCCAGCTATATCACGGCGGTCTGTAAATAATCGAGAATAGACCAGACAATCCAGTGATTGATATCATGAGCATCGATCCACGCAAATGGGATCGATGACTTCATGTTGGTAAATCAGTGGAAGGGAATTGGCTATTTAGCCATAATGGAATTATATGAGATCAAACGTATTATCCAAATTACCTAGTTTTGACTTTGCCAAGCAGGGCAGAAATTCTGATCCATATGTAAAAAGAACAGATAAGTAAGAAGGGGAGCAAAACTGATGCCCAAGGTGATGACTACTTTCTTGCCTAAATATCTACGGCAAATATTCAGATGCATCAGAATGACACGACCCCGTCCAGTGAAGTTTGTACTTCTGTTTCATCCCGCGATACTGTTATAACGGGTAATGTATGCAATCAAAATGGTAAGAGCAGGCAGTCCGTGTACATGGGACACACATAAAGATTAATATCTTGTTTCAGTGATCGAGATGGACCGGAAGATGTCTGACCAGGAGATAACATGTAAGATCTGCGCCCTTGACGACATGATGTTACAAGATATTTTTCATTGGTTTTGTATCTGTCAGTTGATTTCGAGAGGTTACGACCGCTTTCGAGATCTGATCTTTGTGCTTACCTTTTGATAGTTTAGTACAGAAGTTTTATTAGTGGTCGCGTTAGCAATGTTGCATATCATGCATGTGTTGCCTGATCTTTGAATGTTATGTAATAGAAGTATGTAGGAGAAGAAAGCCTCCTTGGTGTAGTGGATAAAAACGTCCGTCCGGTGAGCGGAATGTCGGAGGTTCGATCCCCAGTCACGTCATACCAAAAGACATTAAAATATGGTACTTGTTGTTACCCTACCTGGCGCCCGGCACTAAGGGAACAAAATTAGGACTGGTCGTCTCGGAGTCAGCATACTAAGTGGGGTATCCATGTTAAAATTGTGGCATGGTATCTCAGTTGGCTAGCACTTCGGCAGTCGTCGTCACTAGTACAAGTAGCCACACACATACAAACACACACTTACATACACACCCTCGCGCGCCCGGGCATGCATGTAATACGTGTAATAATCTTGAAGTTGTATATATTAAACCCAACTTAACCACCTCACCAGAGAGAAGAAGAACGCCTTGGCTTTAACACTTCTAACTTAATACATAATAGATCAATGATAGCTCATAGTGAGTGAGTGAGTGAGTTGGGTTTAACGCCGCTTTTAACATTATTCCAGTTATATCACGGCGTGTCAGTTTAATGTGGGAGCAAAGCCCGAAGTGATACAGGTCTCAGACGTTTACCACTTCGGTGAAACCCACGAGCACGGGTATGGTGCTGACATACCTAGAAACATAATCGGGGCGAATCGGGATTCGAACCCACAATCATAGGTTTCTGGCGTGCCCAGGGGACGCAACTCTGCACAGCGAATCGCGGCGCCTTAGACGACTGGGCCTGCCGTGCCCCCATGACAGCTTATAACTTTCATTTGGTAGATTGACTAAATTGTCGGTAAAAACGTATTAAGTGATATATGTGTTAGCTACAAGAAGACATGTTGGTACTCATTACGAATGTTTTTTTCATCACAGGCCCGACTCTGGAATGGGACACAAACACTGCAAAATGCATCATTGACGTATCTGAATGTGTAATCACAAACACACGACCGGCTGTTATTTCTCCGAACACAGGATGTCGGATACGAAATGCCAGATCATGTCTAGCGTCCAGACCTTTGGTGGTCCGAAACAGTCCTGGGCAGCGTTGCGTGTTTGGAATAAAGTTGGGGTTATATATAAAGACATTGGTAGGAAGTAATAAACTTATACAAGAGATAGCCCTGACATCCTCTCCTGAAGATGCTGTCCGGCCGCAACAAATTGGACTGAGTGTGTATGTTGCAACATGCTCCACCCACAACCAACAGCTGTGTCTTCGGGTAAACTACAATAAAAAGCTCCTCACTCACCTTCCACTCACTGAGAACAGAGTTGGACAGTCTTATGACCTTCAGCTATACTTTCTACTGGATGGAGCTAGTGACAAAATATTAGTCGTTAATGCCATTGACAATTCAGTGTACACCACTGTTACAGATGTAGAATTTGACAGACCACTGTGGGTTATGATGTATGTTTGTGATCCCACAAAAGCGGTTGTAAGAGGAGAACTGATATCTGGCCACAAAATCCAAGGAACCTTTGCCAACTTTAATCTGTAGAATCTGTAGAACATATTAACATTTTAACAATAGATTTTTGTAAATAAAGTGTTTGAATCTGAATTTCCCACACACTACTGTCAGTGATCATGAGCACGCGATTTGTTTGGAAATGAGTGAGTGAGTGAGTGAGTATAGTTTTAGGCCACTTTTAGCAATATTCCATCAATATCACGGCGGGGGAAATGGGCTTCACACATTGTACCCATGTCGGGAATCGAACCCGGATCATCGGCGGGACGAGCGAAGGCTTTAACCACTAGGCTACCCGACCGTCCTGTTTGGAAATGATGGTAGTGGTGCTGAACTATGTAGGATGTAGACATATGGAGGGCATTTGTTCCTTTGTTGGTTCGCACGAACCCATGACTAGCCTTTGCATGCATTTTTGTGGCGTGCTACCGGAAGGGCAAGCAACGCTGACATTCATTATTATGCTTCAGACTGTTGTAAAAAAATTGTCTGCCACAACAACTACCTGGTTGCAAGGTGTTTTTCTTAAAAACATTTCAGGCTCATACATTTATTTTACAAAATATCTGGTCATGCAGCAGGAGATGAAAATGTATATTATCTTGCACTTACAAGGGTGATTTTCATTAAAATATTTTCTGCATGAGATCACCTGAGGTATAAACATTTACCTGCTAAGTAAAGCTCTTGCTTCATTTGAAAATCCTGTGTCAAATCCTGATGTTGTAGCTTCTGTTTCCTTTGTGAACTGTACATTGTACCTTAAACCTTATTCGTTTACTTGATTTCCGATTTCCAACCTCACATCAAATACACAGACTGGGCAACAGTGAGTGAGTGAGTGTGTTGGGTTTAACGCCACTTGTAACAGTATTCCAGTTATATCACGGCGTGTCAGCTTAATGTAGGAAAGCCCGAAGTGATGCAGGTCTCAGACGTTTACCACTTCGTTGAAACCCACGAGCACGGGTATGGTGCTGACAAACCTAGAAACATAATCGGGGCAAACCGGGATTCGAACCCACATGGGGTCTGGCATGCCCAAGGTCGCGGCGCCTTAGACGACTGGGCCAACCGTGCCCCCTGGGCAACAGTGATCAATAAAGTCAACAAGCATCCATGGTTTAGTTAAATGTGATCTTGACATAACAAATCCTGATTGTGATCGCATAAATACAATAGAAAATAAGCATAATGTAATGTAAGCAAAATAAGTTCATGTGCGCGTTAATAATTTGTTTAATACCGCACTATACAATTTAACATGAACAAGAAAAGCTATGAAACCCAATTCCATAATCATAATATATATAGATATTATAAATTCCATTGTACGATTCCCTCTCCAAAATAAGCATATTTTTTTCTATAAATGTAAATCACTACCAAATGCGTCAACTGTCCTCCATGTGTTTAAACCAATAGGAAGCAATACTGAGGCCTTGAGTGTTGTAGCCCTGATCAAACACCAAGCGTTGCACGGAGCTCTTTGGAATCTCCTTAGAGTGACCATGATCGATTGTACATCAAACCTTTTGAAATTTTTACGCCATCAACAAAGTCACAGATACTGACCACGCAATCCAATTTTTCGCAACGATCAGCAATAAAATCCTATATGTTCGAAGCTAGTTTCCTACATGATTCATACATGGGGGCTAATATCGAGACCTTACACTTGTGAAAGGTATTTGTCATTGATAATGATAGACACAACAGCCTAATGTTCTATATGAGGTCACATGTGCACGGGTTATCAACATGATATGTGTGGACTTTGTACATCCAAACCATACCCTGGGTCCGTGTTCCAGTCACATTGATCTGTGCCGCCCACATATATCTGCATCTCCCTTGACTCATGAAAGCCAATGCGATTGTGTCTATGTCTGTATGTCAGGGTGATGCGACCACAGATCACTATTACAGGAAGGTAGGTCCCAAACAGTTATAGCGTCAGTGTGTGTTACCACTTGAGACTTAAGGATTAAAATTAGTAAGGTTTGACGCACCTTTCAACATGTCCTTTATAATTTGTTTCATTGAACAAATTAAATTTCACACACACACACACACACACACACACACACACACACACACACACACACACACACACACACACATATATATATGTTTTTTGCTTAACGCCGCACTCGATACTGGACCAGACAATCAAGTGATTGACATCATGCGCATCGATCCCCACAATTGGGATACGATGACATGTATCAACCAAGTCTACGAGCCTGACCACCCGATCCCGTTAGTCACCTCTTACGACAAGCATGGTCATCTTTTACGGCACGTGTTACTGAAGACCATTCTACCCCGGATCTACAAGGGTTATATTTATATCAAGGCAATTTTCATTTAAGGTATTGAAAACATTAATTGTCATGTTTTCATTAAACTGTACCACCTTAACACGAAAGGAGTTAGCATCAAATCAATCGCTATCATGAACCGTCACAATTATTTTCTCTGTGCTAATTGATATAATTGGATTGCATGTTTTCATATAGATACGGGGCATAAGGTAAGAGGACTTTTTTATACAAATTAATATTGCAACATTCATTATCGAGTTGTGTGTGCTTTTCGCAGGAACAATGTCTGACTCTCTCTCAACATCACATGTGCAACGTTATCTCACAGAGTGTCCAGTATGTTCTGAACAATTTGATGATGTCGCGCGCCTTCCCCGCCGTCTGTCGTGTTGTGTACAGTGTATCTGTCAGCCATGTTTACAGCAGATCTACAATGAAGAAGACAAGACGTTGCTCTGCCCTGTCAGTCACCACAAGCACGAACTTCATAATGGAGTTACCTCTCTTCCGACTGAGCCTATCACATCGAAGATACTTGACTACCAGAAAATCCAAAGAAATGAGCGGGTGGTATGTACAGATTGCCCAAGCAGCAACGAGGCAATAGCACGTTGTGAAGAATGCTGTGTATTTTTATGCAAGGAATGCAGGATAACCCATGATCAACACAGATTGTCACGACATCACAGAACTCATACATTTGAGGAGATTAAAGGTCAGCCGATCCAGGCCTTGAGACGACTACACGAATGCGGCCATCACCCACAGCGTCAGGAATACTTCTGCAATACCTGCGAGAAGATCATATGTGTTTCCTGCACTGTAGAAGATCATCGAGAAGGAGCGGGACACATGTTTGTACCTGTGGATAAAGCACACCAAGAAAAATCAATACATGTTGATAACATGTTAAATCAACTTGACGAAAAGGCTGTAGAACTGAGTCAAACAGAACAAGAATTGTTACACAAAGTCGACAACATGCACGTGTCAGCACTTGCAGCCAGACAGGACATCAACAAATGCTTTGAGAAGATGATAGAGGAGTTGCAACAAAGGAAAGCAACTCTTTTGTCAGACGTTGAGGAGAGAACCGGCGCTGATGTAAAGCTGACGGAAGAGATCCTCCAGTCAACCAGAGAGCTGCTGGCGAAGGTGAGATCCTCAACAGAGTACATTAGACTGATGAGAAGCATGGCCGATAACATCGAGGATCTTCATCTGATGCTTTCCTCTACACCATCACTGAATGGCATACTAGCTGAGGAGCCAAAGAAAGTGGAATTTGTAAGCAGGGGAACATCCTTTGTCCCAGCCAATCTGAATAATCTCGCGTCCACTATCAAGGTGACAGGCATGGTCAGGTCTGTCACATACACGCCAACCCAGAGGCCAAAATATGTACCACAGAAGACAATATATAACACCATCACACTGGAGCCAGCTGAGGTACCTGCAGGTCGGTTTCTGCAATAGTTCAAATATTTCAATACCTTTGTGACCCTATCTTAAACTGGTTGTTCAATTCTGTTATTTTAAGCTTGTTTATTTGCTGTAATTGCTTTTATGTATATTCCAGCAAAATCATAGCAATATGTACATACTCGATTGAAAATTGTTGGCCTTTTAGCGATATCTCATGCAGTTTTAATCTCCTCTTCTAGCAATCATTGATTACTTGGGACGAATTCTTGTCCCTCAATTCACACTAGAGAACGTCATATATGACCATGGAATTTACTGAAAATATGCCATATGTATCCCAATGTCACAAGTAGTAAGCAGTTCACACACTACGATCACCCGGACCCAAGAAAGTCACCAAACCGTAACCCCTTGATCCAATCTAGTCAGCGAAGTGGTAAACGTCTGAGACCTGCATCACTTCGGGCTTTCCTCCCACATTAAGCTGTCACGCCGTGATATAACTGGAATATTGTTAAAAGTGGCGTTAAACCTAACTCACTCACTCCCTCACTCCAATCTAGTCACCTCTTACGAAAGGAAATTGAGAACTGGGGGGCCAGTTCTATGCTGGATCCTTATTAGATATGTATTGTTTAATAGTTGTAAACACCGTGTAACTTTTTTAATCTAGTAAGGCTTCAGTAATATGATTTGATATGACAAACGGTAGGCTTGGCATTCATTTTATTCACTCAATCAGTATCTCATTTCAGTGTGTGATGGTGACATGGTTCTATCGAAGGTAGACACAATGGTTACAACATGTAAGTTTAAATATGTTTCTATTCATAACAACGTTTTTATTACAAATACGAACAGATCATATACACATACCATATGTTTAATAAACAAGATTGTAATATTAAAAGTACTCCTTGTCACGTCTTAGAAAACCCCTGTTGTTGAGTGACTTCAACTTCAGCTATGACGTCGTTTCTAGTGTGACGTCATTCCGGCCCTATGTCACAATCGAATGACGTAAACAATACAAGTGTGATGTGCACTTGAAAGAAGAGACCAAACTGGGAAAGAAATACATTGCTTCTTGCTAAGTAATTAAACCTCATCATGAAAATAAAGTCCCTCTCCTGAGCTAATCAAGTATTAAAAAGAAAAAAACACGACTGCTAGTATAGCAATTTGTCTCCATTTAACATCCCACCTATTGGGTGCACCTTAGCTTAAGACAATCAGTAAATGTTACAAACATCCTTCTCTAAACTGTCACATCCACTTTGAACAGTGGTTACCGTCAGATGATTATGGAATACTGTAAGGGACATTCTCGCGATCTCGACCTTTGGAAACG